AGTTGGTATGGAAGGAACATACCTCAACATAATAAATGCCACGTATGGCAACCCACAGCTAACATCATACTCAACAGTGAAAAGCTGAAAGCCTTTCCTCTTAGAACACGAACAAAACAAGGATGCCCACTCTTGTCACTTTTATTCAAAAATACTGGAATCCTAAACACAGCAATAAAACAAGAAAAAGAAATAAAAGCCCTCTAAATGGGAAAAGAAGTAAAATTGTCACTATGTGAAGACTACGTGATATTGTATACAGAAAACACTAAAGATTCTACCAAAAATAAACACATAAATCATTTTTTTCTCTTTTTTTTTAAACGTTTATTTATTTTTGAGACAGAGAGAGACAGAGCATGAACAGGGGAGGGGCAGAGAGAGAGGGAGTCACAGAATCTGAAACAGGCTCCAGGCTCTGAGCTGTCAGCACAGAGCCCTACATGGGGCTCGAACTCACGGACCCTGAGATCATGACCTGAGCCGAAGTCGGACGCTTAACCGACCAAGCCACCCAGGCGCCCCCACATAAATCATTTTTAAAAACTCTTTGAATTAATAAATTAATTCACTAATACAGGATACAAAACAAATATACAGAAATCTGTTGCATTTTTTATATACTTATAATGAACTATCAGAAAGAGTAATTAAGAAAACAATCCCATTTGCAATTGCATCAAAATGAATAAAATAACTAGGGTTAAATGTAACCAAGGGGGTGAAAGACGTGAACCCTGAAATCTATAAGACATTGATGAAAGAAACTGAAGACAGCACAAGTAAATGGAAAGGTACACTGCTCATGGATTCGAAGAATTAATATTGTTAAAATATCCATACTACCCAAAGCGGTCTGCAGATTGAATGTAATTTCTATCAAAATACCAATGGAATTTTTCTCAGAAATAGAACAAATAATCCTAAAATTTGTACAGAACCACAAAAGATTCCAAATAGCCAAAACAATCTTGAGAAAGAAGAACAAAATTAGAGGTATCATGTTCCTTGATTTCAAAGTATACTACAAAGATACAGTTATCAAAACAGTATGGTATTGGCACAAAAACAAAACATGGAGAGTTTTGGAACACAATAGAGAGTCCAGAAATAAATACATGCATATACAGTCAATCTTCAACAAAGGAAGGAAGAACATACAATGGGGAAAAGACAACTCTTCAATAAATGGCGTTGGCTACTAGGTATTTAACCAAAGAAAACAAAAACACTAATTCAAAAAGATATGTGCAGCATTATTTGCAGTAGTCAAGATATGGATGCAACCCAAGTGTCCATCCATAAATGAATGGATAAAGAAGACAGTGTCTACACACACACACACGCGCGCGCGCACAATATTACTCAGCCGTGAAAAGGGATGAAATCTTGCCATTTGCAACAACATGGACAGATCTAGAAGGTACCATGATAAGTAAAGTCAGTCCGACAAAGACAGATACCTAATAATTTCACTCGTGTGGAATATAAGAAGCAAAACAAATGAACAAATAAAAAGACAAAAAAAAAAAAAAAACAAAACAGACTCTTAAATACAGAGAACAAACTGGGCGTTGCCAGAGGGGAGGTGAGGGGGGGATGGGTGAAATAGATGAAGGGGATTAGGAGTATACTTATTGTGATGAGTACTGGGTAATGTGTAGAAATTGAATCATTATACTGTATACCTCAAACTAATACGATACTGTACATTAATTTTACTTGAATCAAAATATATTTAAAAATGAATCTAGGCACAGACCTTACACCCTTCACACACCTGAGGGGCTCAGTCAGTAAGCGTCTGACTCATGATCTCAGCTCAGGGGCTTGATCTCAGGGTCATGAGTTCAAGCCCTGCTTTAGTCTCCACTTTTTAAGTATTAAAAAAAAAACCCTCAAAATAGATCATAGATCTAAATGTAAAATAAAAACTATAAAACTCCTAGAAGATAACAGAAGAAAACCTAGATGACCTTGGGTATGGTGATGATTTTTTAATATACCACCAAAGTCATGATTCACGAAAGAAATAATTGATAAATTAGGCTTCATTAAAATTAAAAACTAGGGGTACCCGGGTGGCTTAGTCAGTTGAGGGTCCAACTCCTGATTTTGGCTCAGGTCATGATCCCAGGGTCATGGCATTGAGCCTGCATTGGGCTCCACACTGAACATGGAGACTGCTTGAGATTCTCTCTCTCTCTCCCTCTGCCCCTCTCCCTGGCTCATGCTCTATCTCTCTCTAAAATAAAATTTAAAAAAACTTTTAAAGATAATAAAAATAAATTTAAAAAAATTAAAAACTATTGCTCTGTGAAAAACAATGACAAGGAAATAAGAAGATAAGCCACAGACTAGGAAGAAATACCTGCAAAAAACATATCAAATAAAGGACTGCTATCCAAAATATACAAAAACTCTTAAAATTCAACAGTAAGAAAGTGAACACTCAAAAATGTACAAAGGGGTTGAACAGAAACCTTACCAAAAAAGATAAACAGATGGCAAGTAAGCATATGAAAAGATGTTCAACATCATATGTCATTAGTTAAAACAAGAAACCATTACATATCTGTTAGAATGACCAAAATCCAGAACACTGGTAACAAAATGCTGGGGAGGATGTGGAACAACAGGAACTCACATTAATTGCTGTTGGGGCTGCAAAATGATATAGTCATGTTGGAAGACAGTTTGATAATTTCTTACAAAACTAAACATACTCTTACCATATAATTCAACAATCATGCTTCTTGTTATTTACCCAAAGGAGATGGAAATCTATGTCTACACAAAAACCTGCTCATGGATATTTATAGCAATTTTATTCATAATTGCCAAAACTTAGAAGCCGTCAGGCTATCCTTCAGTAGATGAATAAACTATGGTACATCCAAATAATAGAATATTATTCAGTACCTAAAAGAAATGAACTATCAAGCCATGAAAAGACATGGAGGGAACTCAAATGCAAGTTTTACTAAGTGAAAGAAGCCAATCTGAAAAAGGCTACCTACTCTATGTTTCCAACTATATAAAATTCTGGAAAAGGGAAAATTATGGAGATAGTAAAAAGATCAGTAGTTTCCAGGGGTTAAGTAAGCCAAAGGGATACCTAAGCAGAACACAGATTTTAAGGGCAGTGAAATTACTCTGTATGATACTACAGTGGTGGGTAAATGTCATGATACATTTGTCAAAACCCATAGAATGTACAATGCCAAGAATGAACCCTAATATAAACTATGGACTTGGGGTGATAATGATGTGTCAGTGCAGGTTCATTGATTGTAATAAATGTAGCACTCTGGTACAGGATGTTGACAGTGGGGGAGACTGTGAGTGTGTAGGGACAGTTGGTCATATGAGAACTCTACACTTTCTGCTTGGTTTTGCTGTGAACCTAAAACCATTGTAAAAAATAAAATTTGTTAATTTTTTTTTTTTTAATTAAAAGGCACTGGGGATACCTGGGTGGCTCAGTAGGTTAAGTGTCCACTTCAGCTCAGGTCATGATCTCATGGTTTGTGGGTTCCAGCCTCGCATGGGGCTCTGTGCTGACAGCTCAGAGCCTGGAGCCTGCTTTGGATTCTGTGTCTCCCTCTCTCTCTGCCCCTCCCCTGCTCACGCTGTCTCTCTCAAAAGTAAACAAATGTTAAAAAAAATTTTTTTAATGAAATAAAATCAAAAGGCAACATACTAGTTGTCTTAAATTTCACCACAAATTTTTAACATGTATAAGAATTCAAAAATTAATATGCATCTATAGGAAGAACTTATACAAATCGATAAGAAAAAGAGGAACACGCAAATAAACAATGGGTGATACAAACTGCAGCAACATATATTAACATGATGAATATCAAAATTTTTTAATATCAAAAAATTTTAAGGCAAAGCCAAATGTGCGTTTGAGGACTCGTACACTCGTGGGAATGGAATAAAAAACAGCAAGGGAGTGATTCCACACAAAACTTGGTAAAGCGGTTCCTCTGAAGAGCACAGCGAGGAGATGGATGATACATTTGAGGAGAGGCGCTATGATGCCAGACGAACAAGTCTGTTGCTTATGTGGCTTCGTAGTCGTTACTTTAGTATTCATTTTTAACCTCTGAACTTATATACTCTTCTATATTCGTACTGTATTTTACACTAAAAAAATTAATGTATAATGAGGGTGAATAGACAATTCACAGAAGAAATAGAAATGCCATTTAATGTATACAAAAGCACTTTACATCATTAATGAAAGAAATTCAAAGTGAAATGCATTACCTTGTCTAAAATTTTAGACTGCCAACGATTTTTGTTTTTATTTTTAGATTTTTTTTTAATCTTTATTTTTGAGAGAGACAGAGACAGAGTGAGAGTGGGGGAGAGGCAGAGAGAGAGGGAGACACAGAATCTGAAGCAGGCTCCAGGCTGTCAGCACAGAGCCCGATGGGGGGCTCGAACTCATGGACTGTGAGATCGTGACCTGAGCCGAAGTCAGACGCTTAACTGACAGAGCCATCCAGGCACCCCTGGCAACGATTTTAAAATTGTATAAGGTCCAGTATAGTTAAGAACGGGGAGAAATGAGCACTCAAATCCACGTATGCCCGATAGTTTAAATTGTTACAATTAAATTGGAAGACAGTGCATTATGTTGCTTTGTAGGAGGTTAACATTGGAGAGAGGGGAGCAGTGTTCCACCTTGCTTGCTTATATTTTGTTTTGATATTGTATTATGTATTACATGTATAATAAAAAACTGATAAAGTTTTTTAAGGGTTAATAAGAAAATTCAAACATATTACATTTTAACAAATCAAGCTATTGGATTAATGTTCATCATAAATGTTCCTCAATTTCATAAACTTATTTTTATAATTATTTTAATAAGTTAAAAGACATAATTTATGGGGTCTCAAAAGTTAGAAATTAAAATCTTTATCATTGAACAAAATTCTGTTAGTCTTCCCTTGAGTAAAACAACTTTATTTATATTAAAACAGAGCTACCAAAGAAAATAAGGAGGACACATCAGTTGACGCTTCTCAGGTAATACAGATTGAGCAATTTATCTTTTTTTCAAATCTCTTTCACCATCAGTATGTGGGATATAATTGTTCTGTTCTTCCCTTCTTCTTACAAATGGGTACTTGATAAATACTGCATATAAATGAGACCGTCTATCTCTTGCTCACCTTATTGTTTCATTGATTCATTCGTCTACTCGTGTATTCATTCATTCATAAAACAGGTAATTCTTGAGTGCCTGCTTTTGTGCCAGCTCAAAAAATTATGCTAGGCAAGAAGAATCAGCCATGAATAAAACAAATCTCAACCTGTCCTCAGGAATCTTAGAATCTAATGGGAAAGACAGACTCTGACAAGTACAAGCATGAGGAGTGTTACAAAAGAGTGCTATAGGAGAAGATAGCAAGGAACTTGACCAAGATGAGGGTCAGGAAAGACCTCCTGTAGGAAATGACTTAACAGCTAAAACTGATGCATGAAGATACATAAGCTAGTCAAAAGGTGGAAAAACACTATTCCAGATAGAGGGGATTTCATATTCAAAGAGCTTGAGGTAGGAAGGAGCACATTTGAAGAAATTTAAAAAATATATATGTATATATTTTAGCAGGAAAAAGAAAAGCAAAGGAAACAGTGTTGTGTTAACAAGGCCAGAGAGATAGGCAGAGACAATTCAGTGGAAAGTCTTACAATAATTCTTTTAGTAGACAAATATTTGTTGAGTATTTCCTATATGCCAGGCACTGTTCAAGGAATTGGTGAGATATCATTGAATAAATCAAAGTCCCCCATTACCGTGAAGCTGGCATTCTTTTATGTCTTGTTAACCTTTTTCGACTTAGGTAACCTAAGAGCAAAGGAAAACTATGGAAAGGTTGTCAGCAGCAGAGATACATGGTCTGATGTCTGTTTTTAAAGGATTATTTTAGCTGAATTATGAAAAATGAATATCCCAGAAATCTTCTCTTTATCCAAAGCCACATTCATCTTTGAAGGATCCCTGACAGTAGGTATGGCCACCAGGAATAGTGAAACATATTTCCAGTGCAGTAAGGACATGCTTCTTCCTCTTGAGGACTGACCCATGCTGATGAATAGGAGAGAATATATTTTTTCCATTTCCAAATAGAGAAGGACAACTAAGACATAGCCTTAGACAGTTTTGTGACAATATGTCAAATCAGCTGAGGGGAGACCTCTAATTAGATAGCTTAAATAGTGGTTTTGCATCACAGATGCAAAGAATCTGCTGAAGGCTATGAGCCTTCGCTATAAAACAGAATTTTTATACTGTTTGAGGGAGTTCACAAACTCTAAAGGCCATCCACAGACCCCAGAATAATAGTCCCTACAATAAGAATTCAGATGTGATTTAAACACACACACACACACACACACACACACACACACACACACACACAGAAGCTCACTTTACAGAAGCTTATAATTATGAAGAAACCACCTAGAAATGGGCAAGGGGCTCATTTTTAAAAAGAAACATGCATTTCGGGGCTCCTGGGTGGCTCAGTCGGTTAAGTGTCCAACTTCTACTCGGGTCATGATCTCATGGCTCGTGGGTTTGAGCCCTGCGTTGGGCTCTCTGCTGACATTTCAGAGCCTGGAACCTGCTTCTGATTCTGTCCGCCTCTCTGTCTCTGCCCCTCCCCTGCTCATGCTGTGTCTCTCTCTGTCTCTCAAAACTAAATAAATGTAAAAAAAAAATAAATAAATAAAAAAGAAACATACATTTCATGCACACATACAATTTTTAGAAAACTTCTTCATTCTGCCAGAGAGGAAGAATGAAACTTGTAAAGCCAAGAAAGGAAACTTGTAGAGCCAAGAAAGTTTTGGGCTCTACATCAAAAGATTGTGAACCTGAACAGCCTCACTTCTCACATAGTTTGGCTAATTGAAGGAGGGCGGCAAAGTACCCACCTCAGCCAAAATGTTTGCTTTTTGACCTAAGTTATTTGATTCTCAATGTTGTGCCTCACACGTTTACAAGAAAAAAAAAAAAGGATTTAAAAGATCTTACTTATGTAAAGACCAAATTTTTCTTTTTTTAAATATATTTTTAAAATTTTTTCATGTTTATTTATATTTGAGAGAGAGAGAGAGAAAGAGCCTGAGCAGGATAGGGGCAGAGAGACAGAGGCAGAATCCAAAGCAGGCTCCAGGCTCCGAGCTGTCAGCACAGAGGCCGATGCAGGGCTAGAACTCAGAGCAGTGAGATCATGACCTGAGCTGAAGTTGGTCACTTAACCAACTGAGCCACCCAGGTGCCCTTTTAAAAAAATTTTTTATTGCTTATTTATTTATCAGAGAGAGAGAAACAAAGAGAGTCAGAGGACAAGTGGGGGAGGGGCAGAGAGAGAGAGAGACACAGAATCTGAAGTAGGCTCCAGGTTCCAAGCTGTCAGCACAGAGCCCAGCATAGGGCTCAAACCCATGAACCATAAGATCATGACCTGAGCTGAACTCAGATGCTTAACTGACTGAGCCACCCAGGTGCCCCAAGACTGCATTTTTCAAAGTGCTTTCACAGCATTTTGGCCTGTGTAAAGATACTCATGTCAAACAATTCCTCAGAATTATATAGAATTACAATATGATCCAGCAATTTCAGTCATGGATTTATATCTGAAAGGGAAAGTAGGGACTCAAGCAAATATTTGTATACTTGTGTTCTTAGAAGCATCATTCACAGTAGCCAAAAGGTGAAAACAGTCCAGCAACCCAAGAGTCACTGACAGATGAATGCGCACACAAAATGTGGTATATACATACAGTGGAATGTTACTCGACCTTAAAAAGGAAGGCAATTCTGACATATGCTACTAAATGGATGAATCTTGAAGATATTATACTAGGTGAAATAAGCAGTCACAAAAAGACAAATACTATATGACTCTAGTTATAAGAAATCTATGTATCTATAGTAGTCACATTCATAGAGACAGGAAGTAGAAGGGTGGTTGTCAGGAGCTGAGGGAGGAAGAAACAGGGAGCTATTGTTTAATGGGTGTGGAGGTTCAGTTTGGGAAGATGTAACAGTTCTGGAGATAGATGGTGATGATAGTTGCACAACAATGTGAATGTACTTAATGTCACTTTAAAATGGTGAAAATGAGGGGCACCTGGGTGGCTCAGTCAGTTAAGCATTGGACTTCAGCTCGGGTAATGATCTCATGATTTGTGAGTTTGAGCCAAGCTCCACATAGGGTGAGCCTGAGCCCTCTTTTGGGTGAGCTCAAGCCACACTCATGTGAGCCCCATTTCTCTCTCTGTCCCTCTCTCACTTGCACCCTCTCTCTCAAATAAATAAATAAATTAATTAATTAAATTACATAAAATGGTAAACATGAAAAAAAAAGGGGGGGGTGGGGTAGCACACCTGGCTAGCTCAATCAGTAAAGCATGCAACTCCTCATTTCAGGGTTGTGAGTTCAAGCCCCACATCGGGTGTAGAGATTACTTAAAAAATAAATAAATAAAATGTTTAAAATGAATAGTAAATAAATAATTAAAATGGCAAATTTTATGTTAGGTCTATTCTACCACAATAAAAAATCATATTCATGTCAGCTTCAGTTCATAAGGAAGATGATTACTGCCATTTATGTAGAACACAGATCAAATTTGTTAAATATACTGACATCACAAACAGGTCTTTTAACATTTTTTAACATCCATCCAATTTTGAAAGAAAGAGCATGAGCGGGGTAGGGGCAGAAGAGAGAGGGAGACACACAATCTGAAGCAGGCTCCAGGCTCTGAGCTGTCAGCACAGAGGCCGATGCAGGGCTCAAACTCAGAGCAGTGAGATCATGACCTGAGCTGAAGTTGGGCACTTAACCGACTGAGCCACCCAGGTGCCCCACAAAGTGGTCTTTTAAAAGACAGACTCATTTTCTCAGTCTAATTTTTTAATAATCCAAACAAAATGTACTGTTGTGGTAACCACATTTGTTGCAATGTATAAACTCAATTTGCTCCTTTTTTTGTGCCACCAGGAAAACCAAGAGGATCTAGGCTTGTGGGAGGAGAAATTCGGAAAATTTGTGGATGTCAAAGTTAATGGTAAAATTGAAACTTGTGTAGTATTAAAGCAGATCTTGCCAAAATCACTAAATGTTGCTACCTATAAGTCCCTTGAGCTCTGGCACCTAAAGAAGTGATTTCTGTAAGGGGAACAGAAATGTCAGATTTGGGTCCTTTATTGTTCAATGTTTATCAACAGAGAAATAGTGAGTATGTACCTTCAGTGGTCTCATGTTAAGGGCCTAGGTCAGCACACTGCTGGTACTACTCAGTATACAGACAGCCGCAAATCCCACATTCTATTTTTATGAGAGTCAAGTGATGAGAAACAAAATTCTAAAGCTCATTAGCTCCAATATTCCAAGCCATTGGTTCTCAACCTTTTCCAAGCCTCCCCATCATTCACACAAGTATCACATACCCATCTGTGAAATTTCTCACTAGACTTAGGGATAGTATGTGTGTGGTGGGGAGTGAAAAGTTTGTCTCTTTTGGATATATGGTTCAGATACTTGGAGCTTATATAGTTGGAAGAAATACTCACTTTCCTCCTTCCTCCTTCCTACCCAGTAGGATAACAGATCCTCCCTAACTCCTTGAGAATTGCTGTTCTAGCATCTGTATCTATAACTTAGTATAATGATCAGGGCTGACAATGTGTCCAAAGTTTATAAGTAGGGGGGCCATCAGGCTTTCCTTTCTGTAACATCATAATGTTTTTTACCTTCACTATAGCACCCCCTTTCCATAAATTCCTTTAAGTAAGGACCATTTGATGTCAAATACTTTTACCTAAGAGTGAATTTAAGTCTGTTATCTCTCCTAGTTACTTGCATTTTTCCCATATTTCTAAAATAATTGTTAAATAAAGGACCTTGTCTTTGGTTAAAAACAAAACCAAAAACGTATCTACAGTCATAGGGAAGGGATATTTTGAGGAGCCAGGGAAGATCCTCCTGATGGTCTTGGCATTATAGTCCCTGTATGCAGTAAGAATAAATGATCAGGCAGAAGACATCCAGTCTTTCATCTAGTGAAGATTAAAATTGCTCAGTATCCTTTGTTTCCTAATGCAAAGAAGCATGAAGTACATTTTAGGAAATTTTAGATTAGAAAAAAAAATCTAAAACTTCATAGGTATGCCTTACAGATCGAAAGAATATTTACTGTAAATGAGAACACAGAGAGCTTCAAGCATATAGCTAAGGAAGCACTAACAAGTGACCAGAACTTTGCCTTGTGCATGTTTGTATCCCCACAGTACCTAAATGTAACATCTTACAGAAAGGGCACACCATGATTTACTGATTGATCAGGGCAAGTTCAGGTCTCTCAATCCCTAGTCTAGTCATCTTGCTACACTCATAAGTAACTGAGTTTCCTTAAATGATTGTCCCATTAAGAAGCAAAATTCTATATCCTGGTCCCTACAGGCCCTGCCTCCATTGGTTTGGATTTCTCCTTGCACGGATTTGAGCATCTTTATGGGATCCCACAACATGCAGAATCACACCAACTTAAAAATACTGGGTAAAGTGAAAACAAAAATTCTTATAGGATGCTCTGGTTTCTGGACTGTAAGAGGTTTTTTTTTTTTTTTAAATGTTTATTTATTTTTGAAGGAGAGAGAGATAGAGCATGAGCGGGGGAAGAGTAGAGAGAGAGGGAGACACAGAATCCGAAGCAGGCTCCAGGCTCTGAACTGTCAGCACAGAGCCCAACGCGGGGCTCGAACCCACAAACTGAGATCATGCCCTGAGCCAAAGTCAGATGCTTAATCAACTGAGCCACTCAGGCACCCCTGGACTGTAAAAGTTTGAAGGGAAAATATGTGAGATGTCTGAGCCTGAGCCAATATGTGCCTGGTCTTGTCCTCCTTGAGCAGTGGTTTTCCATTTTTATCTTATTTTTGGCAAAAAATTGAGAACTATAAAACTGTAATTCTGAACCTAAAAATATGCAGAGGAAGTAAGAATATGGAACTATTGTGGTTGAAGCAGGAGAGAGAGCTTCATCATACCACCTCCCTAGGTTTTGCTTTCACCTCTCTAGGCTTTTCTGCGGAACCTGGGGAGAATACAGGGTGAAAATCACTGACCTAGAAAAAGGTGTTTACCAACCTCTGAGCCAGAGAATGAGACATTGTGGCATCTTGTGGCCCTTGGGTGGCTCAGTCAGTTGAGCGTCCAGCTTCGGCTCACGTCACGATCTCATGGTTCATGAGTGCAAGCCCCTCACATCAGGCCTGCTTTGGCTCCTCTGTCCTCCCCCCTCTCTCTCGCCCTCCCCTGCTTGTGCTCTCTTCTCTCTCAAAAATAATAAAACATTAAAAAACAAGAAAAATTGTGGCATCTCATGTCACCTTTGATTCCCTTAGGGGGATCATTTCAGACTAACACTATTGACAAGTAAATGCCAAAGACATCAGACTAAGGAAGCAAAACCAAAGAGAAACAGTCTGATCAAGGGTTCAGATGCCGTTTCCACAACAGTTGGGCATGGTAACAAGTGAATTAGAAACTATGCTGCTCGCACACCAAGCCAAGCTCTATGCTTCCCACCCCAATTCAGTTCCCCATCTTTCCCTACTCAGTACTGTAGAAGCATGTTAGGACACTATCTGTCATTTTGTTTTAGCAGCAGAGAAATACACAATTTGCCAATGATATTTACCGTGTGCTTCTATTGTAGAGGATTCACAGGAAATAGTCCTCACAAGAGGTATTCAGAAAAGATATCTAAGGGGTACCTGGGTGGCTCATTCGGTTAAGTAGCCAACTCTTGGTTTCGGCTCAGGTCATGATCTCACAGTTCTTGTGTTTGTTGGGATTCTCTCTCTCCCTCTCTCTGCCCCTCCCCTGCTCCTGCTCTGTCTCTCTCAAAATAAATAAACTTGAAAGAAAGAAAGAAAGAAAGAAAGAAAGAAAAAGATATCTATGAGACCATGCATGCTAGTTGTCACAGAAGGGGATGCCAAAGGAATCAAAGGAGGAGAATCACATTAACCTTGGTTGGTTAGGGAAGTAGTACGAGTAAAGCCTTGAAAGATGCATAGGACTCAAGTGTTTGCAGGGGAGAATGGAGCTATGCTATTCATTAATAATATATTTGTGATTGTAATTGATGATAGTCCCATTTTTGTTTCAGTGATGGCGATGCTTACCGTCTTTATAATCTGGATGTCTATGGATATAAAATACATGACAAAATGGGCATTTATGGTTCAGTGCCTTATCTCCTGGCCCACAAACCAGGCAGGACTCTAGGCATTTTTTGGCTGAATGCCTCAGAAACGCTAGTGGAGATCAATACAGAGCCTGCAGTAAAGGTGAGCTTATGGATCATGGCTGCATGTCATACTTACAAAACAAAACAAAAAAAAACTAGCATAGTCATAGCCCTGGGCTTTGTAGTGGCAATTCTCTGCCACCAAAGTCTTTGCAATATAATCAAGTGAAAGTTAACAGTATGTACCAGTTACTTACATATAGATGAGTGTTTTAAGCTAGAGGGCAAGTTTTCAGACCCTCATTCCATTCTTTTTCTAGTACACACTGACCCAGATGGGCCCCGTTGCAGCTAAACAAAAGGTCAGATCTCGAACTGATGTGCATTGGATGTCAGAGAGTGGAATCATTGATGTTTTTCTGCTGACAGGACCTACACCTTCTGATGTTTTCAAGCAGTACTCATACCTTACAGGTACAGCTTCTTGTTTCATTATATTTCTTCTATTGCATGTGTCCTAATTTTCAGTTAATATTTGTTGTACACTGTATAGAATTTATAAACAATTTGCCCAAGCTTTTCAAAAAGCAGGCATTTCTCTTCTCACCTTTATCCCATTCAGCTTGGTAAAATGTTGCACTGGGGCTAGAACTCTCCATTCTCTAATCCCTAATACTCCATCTACTTTCCTTGGAGCCTTTAAGCCCTGGGCTTTCTTTGCCTTTATCTCAGATGATCAGTGTCCCAACCTGAACTTTTTCTATGTTCTCTTCTCCATTGAAATATACCACTGGTTTTAGCACTAAAGCATTTTATCTTGAAAAGATGTAAAAGATCATCTTTGTTGATGTGAAAAAGCATTTGACAGAATTCAGCACTATTTCATGATAAAAACGCTCAGAAGGCTAGGAATAGAAGGAAAGTTCCTCAACATGATAAAAGGCATTTATGAAAACTCCACAGCTAACACCCAATTCAGTGGTGAAAGACTGCAAGCTTTCCCCAAAGATCAGAATCAAGACAAAGCTGCCCACTTTGACCATTGCTATTGAACACTGTAGTGGAAGTTTCAGCCAGAGAAGTTAGACAAGAAAAAGAAATAAAAGGTATCCAAACTGGAAAGGAAGAAGTAAAATTATTTCTATTCACAGATGATGTGATCCAACATGTTAGAAAATCCCAAAGAATAGGGGCACCTGGGTGGCTCAATCAGTTAAGTGTCTGACTTTAGCTCAGGTCACAATCTCATGGTTTTTGAGTTTCAGCCCTGCATCGGGCTCTGTGCTGAGAGCTCACAGCCTGGAGCCTGCTTCAGATTCTGTGTGTGTGTGTCTCTCTCTGCACCCTGCCCCCTGCCCTGCCTCCACTAGTGCGCTTGCTCGCGCGCTCTCTCTCTCTCTCTCTCTCTCTTAAAAATAAAAAGAAAACATTTAAAAAAAAGTTAAAAAAAAAAAATCCCAAAGAATCCACAAAAACTACCAGAGCTAATAATTTCACCAAAGTTGCAGGGTACATGATAAACACACAAAATCAGCTGTGTTTTTAAATACCAGCAATGAACAATCTAAAACAGAAATTGAGAAAACAATTCCATTTACAATAACATCCAAAAGAATAAACTACCTAGGAATAAATTTAACCAAGGAAGTGAAAGACTTGTACACTGAAAACTACAAAACATTCTTGAAAGAAATTAAACAGGCCTAAATAAATGGAAAGACATCCTATGTTCATGGATTGGAAGTCTTAATATTATCAAGATGACAGTACTACCAAAAGCAATGTACAGATTCACTTCAATCCCTACCAAAATTCTGGTAGTCATTTTTTGAAAAAGTGGGAAAGCTGATCTTCAAATTCATATGGAATTGCAAGGGGCCCCGAATAGCCAAACAATTCTGGGGTGGGGGGGTTGGGGGTGGCAGACTTATACTTCCCAGTTTCAGGCCTTACTGTAAAGTAATCCAAACAATATGGTACTGGTATAAGGATAGACACATATACCAATGGAATAGAATTGGAAGTCCAGAAATAAACCCATACATCCCTGGCCAATTGATTTCAGCAAAGGTTCAAGACCACTTACTGGGGAAAGAATAGTCTCTTAAACACGTGGTACTAGGATAAGTGGATAGACACATGCAAAAGGATGAAGTTGGAACCCTACCAAACACCATACCACACACAAAAAACTCAAAATAGATAAACAACATAAATATAAGAGCTAAAGCCGTAAAACTCTTAGAAGAAAACAGGGGCAAACCATCATGACCTTGGATTTGGCAACAGATTCTTAGAAAAGACACTAAAATCATGAGCAACAGAAAGAAATAATAAGTAAGTTTGACTTCATTAAAATTAAAAACCTTTGTGCATCAAAGAACATTATCAAGGAAGTAAAAGGCAATATACAGGATGGGGGACAATATTTGCAAATCATACATTTGTTAAGAGTCTAGTATCTAGGATATATAAAGAACCCTTACAACTGTACAACAAAAAGATAACTCAGTTCTAAAATGGGCACAGTACTTGAATAGACAGTCTCTAAAGATATACAAATGGGTTAACAAGCACATGAAAAGTTTCTCAACATCATTAGTCATTAGGAAAGTGAAAATTAAAACCACAATGAGATCCTACTCCATACCCACTATGATGGCTAAATTTTTTTTTAATAGAAAATAGTAAGTATTGGTGAGGATGTGAAGAAACTGGAACCTCATACACTGCTGTTGGGAACATAAAATGGTTCAGCTGCTGTGGAAACATTCTGGCATTTCAAAGAGCTAAACATAGCATTTAATATGTCAACTTGCCTAGGTCACAGTACCCAGATATCTGGTTAAACACTAGTCTAGATGTCACTATGAAGCTATTTTTTAGATGAGATTATCCTCTCAGTACTATTAGTTATATTGATAGACTTTGATTAAAGCAGATTACTCTCAGTAATGTGGGTGACCTTCATCCAATCAGTTGAAAACCTTAAGAGAAAAGGACTGAGGCTCTCTAAAGAGAAAGGTATCTGTCTCCAGACTGCCTTCATATGTAAGCTGCACCTTCCCTGGGTCTTTGGTCTGCCAGCTTGCCCCGTGGAATTCAGAGTTACCAGCCCCCACAGTCACATGAACCAGTTCTTAAAATCATTCACTCTGTAAGTGTAGAAATATATATATATATACATACATACATATACATACATACACACATCCTGTTGGTTCTATTCCTCTGCAGAACACCGTCTAATATCCTTTATATATATATATATATACACACACACACACATATATATATATCCCTGTATATCCTTTATATATCCCCAGCAATTCCACTCTAGATAAGTGAAAGCAAGGACTTGGAGGGACACTTGTATGCCAATGATTGCAGCACTATTCACAATAGCCAAAAGAGGGAAACAAGTACCCATCAAAGATGAATGGATAAACAAAATGTGTTAAATACATAAAATGGAATATCATTCACTAACGTAACAAGGGATGACATTCAGATACATGCTGCAGCATGGATGAACCTTCAAAACATTATTCAAATGAAATATGCCAGACATAAAGGGACAAATATTGTATGATTCTACTTACATGAAGTACCTACAATAGGCAAATTCATAAAGACAAAAAGTAGATTAGCAGTATCAGACGCTGGAGGGTAGGATGGGTATTGGAAAGCTATGGCTTAATGGTTCGAATTTCTGTCTGGGGTGATATAAAATTTTGGAAAGAGGTAGTGGTAATGTTTATACTACATTGTGAATATAATTAATGCCACTGAATTGTACACTTTAAAATGGTTAGGGGCACCTGGGTGGCGCAGTCGGTTAAGCGTCCGACTTCAACCAGGTCACGATCTCACGGTCCGTGAGTTCGAGCCCCGCGTCAGGCTCTGGGCTGATGACTCGGAGCCTGGAGCCTGTTTCCGATTCTGTGTCTCCCTCTCTCTCTGCCCCTCCCCCGTTCATGCTCTGTCTCTCTCTGTCCCAAAAATAAATAAAAAACGTTGAAAAAAAATTAAAATAAAATAAAATAGTTAAAATGACAAATTTTATGTTCTCTTTTGCCATTTTTTGTAAAATGGTAATATATTACCCCCCCCACCCCAATTGAATTGTATGCTTTCATTTGGTCAGTTGTATGGTATGTGAGTTACATCTCAATAAAGCTGTTAAAAATAAAAGAATAGTAGCATCGCTTCTGATGCATTCTCTTGCTAAAAGTTCCTGGGTCCAACCCATGTTCAAGGGAAGACGAATTTGATTCCAACTTTGGTGGGACAAACAACCAAAAATTTATGGATATGGGAAGACACACATATAGGAATAAGCACTGTCAAGGCCCACCGACAGGCCTTTTCAACATTGTTATTGGGGAGAATAAGCCTGGTTTATAGGAAGATGCTTCAAAAACAGTGGGTCTGCCACCGTGTTCAAAGAAATCCAAGTTTTAAGTTTAGAGACTACATGTTGACTCCTGATGAGGACTTAACAACATCCCCCCTTCTTCTCTCCCAATATTGTTGTATCATAATGTTTAGTTAAATCAATATTTAGTGTTTATACTTTTCAAATGCTCAAAGGTGTCAGATAATTTACCCATCCCACTTTTCTCTCTGTAACCTTCCCTCCCAGCTCTCTCTGTCCTGCCCCCATCTAGGTTGTTGCTCTCCAGGCTCCCTGCACAGCTGTCATCCTAGGACTTTTGCTTACTATTTTCTGGTGTTTATCCCCCTTCTCTTGGGTTCCATGTTTTTCTTTCTTGTGGTTTATTACCTTATTGTTTTTGGTTTTCGTTTATAGCATCTTCTGGTAGTTTCCTAAGAAAGTGCCTATGAGGTACATTTTTTGCATCTATGCAGGTATGAAAACATCTTCTTTTCTACCTTCACTCTTGATAATTTGGCTAGATTGAAAATTATTTCTTGGTGAGGGGCTTAGTGGGTTAAGCATCTGACTTTTGATTTCGGCTCAGGTCATGATCTCACAGTTTGTGAGATCAAGACCCCGCACTAATAGCATGGAGTCTGCTTGGGATCCTCTCTCTTCTCTCTTCCCCACCCCCCACATGCACACACTTTCTTTCTCTCAAAATATTCTTTTAAAAAAGAAAATAATTCTCTCTATGACCCAGAAATTGCACTACTAGGAATTTATCCAAAGGATACAAAAATGCTGATTCAAAGGGGCACATACACCCCAATGTTTGTAGCAGTGCTATCAGCAAAAGCCAAAATATGGAAAGAGACCAAATGTCCATCACCTGATGAGTGGATCAAGAAGATGTGTTATATATTTATAATGGAATACTATTCAGAGGTGAAAAAGAATGAAAGCTTGCCATTTGCAACAACATGGATGGAACTGGAGGGTATTATGCTAAGTGAAATAAGTCAGAGAAAGACAGATATAATATGATTTCACTTACATGTGGAATTTGGAAAACTCAACAAAAGAACATAGGGGAAGGGAAGGAAAAATAAGGTAAAAACAGGGAGGGAGGCAAACCATAAAAGACTCTCAAATATAGAGAATAAATTGGGGGGTGCTGGAGGGGGCTAGGTTAAATGGGTGAGAGATATTAAGGAGGGCACTTTGCAGGATAAGCACAGGGTGTTATACGTAAGAGATGAATCACTGGGTTCTACTCCTGAAGCCAAGACTACACTGTATGTTAACTTGAAAATAAATTAATAAAAAAATTATTTCTCTATTTCCTTCCATCTTCTTGCTCCAAAATCACTCTGAATTCTGTTTCCTTGTGTATGATCTGTCTTTTCCTTCTGAAATATATTCTGAAATTTCTAATACTTTGAAATTCTGGAAATTGACAATAAAATGCCTTGATATAGATCTTTTTAAAAATTTTGTTCATGTCAGTGCAGGGCTCAAACTCACTAACCGTGAGATCATGACCTGAGCTGAAATCAAGACTCAGATGCTTTAACCGACTGAACCACCCTGGCACCACAATATAAATCTTTTTTTTTTTTTTTCAAATAATCATTGTGCTGGGTATTAAATGTGAGCTCTTTCAGTCTTTAGAATTGTGTCCTTCACTTTTGGTAAACAGTCTTGGATTATTCCTTTGATAATTTCTTCCCCTCCCTTTTCTCTTTCTACAGTACAGATCTTATAATCTCCCTTATTTTCTAAGTTTTCTCAATTTTATCTTCTAGGCCTTCCATTTATGCTATATTTCTAATTTCTTCATACTCGGTCTTTTCCTCTGATTGTTCTTTATTTCCAGTGTCTTAAACTAGTCTTATTTCAGTATATTTTTTCATCTCTCTGAACATATTAATGATAGATAGTGTTTTGATGTTTACTTTGGTTCCTTGTATTGTCTCTGTTTTCTCAGAAATCCTTTTATTCTATTTTTTTTTAATTTTTGTTAATGTTTATTTATTTTTGAGAGATAGAGAGACAGAGCTTGAGGGAAAGGGGCAGAGAGAGAGGGAGACACAGAATCTGAAGCAGGCTCCAGGCTCTGAGCTGTCAGCACAGAGCCCAATGCGGGGCTCGAACTCACGAACCACGAGATCATGACCTGAACCAAAGTCAGGACGCTTAACCGACTAAGCCACCCAGGCGCCCCTCATTCTATTTCTTTATGTGGATCCTTCTAATCTTAGAGGCTTTCAATAAGGTTCTGCCTCAAAGCGCTCTAGTATTGGCGGTGGAAGGTGGGGGGGGGAATCTTCCCTCTAGGAGTTTTCGGAGAAGAGAGATGAGCTCTTCTCCTCATATTCCCCTTTCAAACACTCTGGTGAGAGCCTCCCTCACTTTGCTCAACAGTTACCACCTGTCCTCTGTCCCACACTTTCCAAAGTTTTGTTGAAATTACTCCTCTCCCATTCTTTTTGTTCTTGTGGCTTTATTCTTTTTTTTTTTTCTTTCCTTTACTCTGATTTTAGTGGGACTTTAGGAGGGAAAAGAGAAATGCAAGTGGTTGACCAGAAGTCTGCCATGTTATCAGTAAATGTTTTGATAGCAATTGATAGTTTTTCCTGCCTTTAATCCCCTTCCCTTTTAGTCAGTCTCAACACTGCTCCCTAATTTTTCTAAAACATAGGTATGCTAAGATCACATCTTGCCAAACTTTTGATGACTTCCCATAAGAAGATTTAGCATTCCTAGCCTGAACTACAGGGACCCTTACAAACTGACCCTCTCCAGTTTCGTCTTCTACTGGTCTCTCTCACAATGTAACCACCCTGGATTATTTATTTTTCCGTAAGCTTATCATGCACTCCTCTGCCTCTTTGTCTTTTCCATTCCCTGTGCCTCAATGCTCTATGCATTCTCTCTGGTAGATTCCTCCTACTTACTCTTCAAGGTCCAAAACCAAGTGTTACTACCTCTGTGAGGCCTTTTTTTTTTGTAAACATTTATTTATTTTTGAGAGAGACACAGAGAGCAAACAGGGGAGGGGCAGAGAGCAAGGGAGACACAAAATCTGAAGCAGGCTCCAGGCTCCGTGCTGTCAACACAGAGCCTGACACGGGGCTCAAACTCACAAACCGTGAGATCATGACCTGAGCCAAAGTCGGACATTCAACTCACTGAGCCACCCAGGCGCCCCTAGCCTTTCAAGTCTCCACATTTTACTGCAGGCAGTATTAACTCCTCTGTATTCCCATAATACTAGGCTGATACCTTTAACATAGCAGTTACACCTCTAAGCAGAACAGTTAATTTACGTACCTGCCTCATCAGCCAAATTATCACTTTCTTGAGGGTGAAGACAGTGTTCTCTTCTCCTTGATATTCTAAGTACCAAGCTCAGTGCTTAGACCCTGTAGACATTTAGGACATGTTTATCAAATGTGTAATTATCATTGTGGTGGTAGCTGGCTCAGTTGTCATCTTCCACTTTCAGGCACACAAGCCATGCCCCCTCTCTTCTCTCTGGGGTACCATCAGTGCCGCTGGAACTATGAGGATGAGCAGGATGTAAAAGCAGTGGATGCAGGATTTGATGAGCATGACATTCCTTATGATGTCATGTGGCTGGACATAGAGCATACCGAGGGCAAAAGGTACTTCACCTGGGACAAGAAAAGATTCCCAAATCCCAAAAGGATGCAAGAGCTGCTCAGAAACAAAAAACGTAAGGTAAAATAAGCTGACGCTTTGAAACCTTTTCATTACAAAGCATTTTTTTTATTATTTAAAACTTGCATTGGCACATTAGTGGAGAAGAGCCATCTGATAAAAAATGGCCATGAAAATTGTACCTTCAAATGTAATTGTAACTGTGATAACAGGAAAGCAATGATGGAAAGATGGTCACACCATCCGTCCCTGCCTTAGGTGTCGAGGTCCCTGCAGGACAAAGGGGCCTAGAATTCAGTCTCATTTGTTGTGGCCATCCTGTAGTGATTTGATAGATACCCCAAAAGCATGATTTGGTTCTGATGTCAACATCAATCTCGAGATTGGGGACATCACACTGACACCAAGAGGGTCTGAAAAGATTGATTAGTCACTTAGGCATTCTTGAGGGAGCAGGGCTGGCTCCCAGGCTGCTCTCAAGATGTCTTGAGAGAGCTGGGAATGAAGACATCTCAGCTTTTGTGGTGCTTGGAGGTTTGGACTGGGGTGAGGATTCCTATGCATGCTCAGGGCTTGTGTGGTTTGAACTTCCTGCTGGCGCCCAAGGAGGGAGCATTAGGGCTTTCTTTGTCAGATGTGGGCAGAAGGGTAAGGGGGAGTGGTGGGGCTAGAAAGCTCTTAACAGTCCATCAAAAATGGAGTCATATTCTTCATCATACCATTTTTTCTGCATGCTTCCCTGATGGACTCCACCTATCAATTGGCCAAAGGAAGAACTAAAATAGAAAATGGAGAGGGGAAAAAAGACACTGGAAAGTATGTAATACAGGTGTGGTGGTGGTAACAGCAATAATGAATAGAAGGAGGGAGAGGAAAAAATTGAGAGAGGAAAAGGGGGAGAACCCTAGATGTTTCATATAAATGGATCCCTGCAGTCCCTCTCCTTGAGATTAAAGTTGTCTTTTCAATCCATTCCTTTGAGCCCCAGGCCTTTCACAGGTGACCGCAGCCAATCATATTAACTCCTAATTTCCAAGTTAATAAATAGCTACCATTTGGCAAGCACTTACTATTGGCCACAGAATTTTATAGAACACAGTATTCTATCCAGTCATCACAAAATTATGAGGTAGATCTTGTTAGCCCATTTTTCAGGTGAAGAAACCGAGGCTTAGTTTTGTATTTTGCACAAAGGCACATAATAAATAAGTAGTAGGGCAAGAATCTGAACTCTGATTTGCCTGACTCCAGAACCCATGTTATTCTAAGCAACTATTTATTGAAGCCATCAGATGTTCAAAATACCGTGCTACAGCTGAAGGGAATGCAAAGATGAGCTCCTTGGGGTCTTGCAGTGAGTTGGGGGAAAGACAAGTATACAACAACCACAATGTAGGGCAATAATGTAACAGCCAAAGAAAGATCAAGGTCAGGAGGGGACTAAGAGAGAGAGAAGATTGCATCCAGCTAGATTCAAGCTGGGCTTTGTGCATTTTAGATGAGCCCTGAAGGATGACTCTCTAACTAGCTGAGAAAAGGGGAGGAAGCAGTGCAGCCAGAGGCTGAAGCACCCAGTGGTGTTTGGAAAACAGTACACAGGTTGGTTTGGCAAGAAAACCATGTGCAAGAAAAGGCATGTGCAAGGTTTAAGTAGTAGGGAATGTGACCTTATTGTAGGCTGCTTTGTATACATTTGGAGACATTAAAAGTTTTTGAATAAGAGGTTAGTATGAAGAATATGTGAAGAACACCTACCACTCAACAAACAAAAAACAAACAACCCAATTAAAAATTGGAAAAAGGACTTAATAGACATTTCTTCAAAGATATACAAATAGTCAACAAGCACGTGAAAAGATGCTTAACATCACCAGTCATTAGGAAAATGCAAACAGAACCACAATGAGATACTGCCTTATATCGTTAGGATGGCTACTATGAACAAACAGAAAGTAGCAAGTAAGGAGGTACAGAAATAGAAACACTGATAGTGGAAAATAAATGTAAAGTGTTGCAACCACTACAGAAAACAGTTTGGCAATTCCTCAAAAAGTTAAAAATACAATTACCATATGATCCACAAAACCCACTTATGGGTATATACTCAAAGGAATTGAAAGCAGGTACTTGAGCAGAAATTTATATGCCCATATTCATATCAGCACTATTCACAATAACTGAAAGTGGAAGCAATCCAAGTGTCCATCAGCAGATGACTGGGTAAACAAAATGCGGTAAATACATACAATGGAATATTATTCAGCCTTAAAAAAGAAGAGATCCCGTCACAAGCTACAACATGGATGAACCTTGCAGACACAATGCCAAGTGATATAAGGCAGTCACAAAAAAGATGAATACTGTATGATTTCATCAATCTGTAATACCTACAGCAGTCAAAATCATAGAGACGGAAAGAATAATGGCAGTTGTTGCCCAAGGCTGGACAGAGGAGGGAATTAGTTGTTTTTAATGGGTATGGAGTTTCAGTTTTACAAGACATTCTGGACATTGCACAACTCTGTGTATGTACTTGTACCCTTAAAATTGGTTAAGACGGTAAATTTTATGTTATGTGTATTTTACTACAATTAAAAGTGCTTTAAAGTTTTTGAGCAATGGAAAATTAAACTTCAGTTTGCAGAATAGATTTGAATAGATTTGAGGAAGGGTGGTGACAAGGTTGTCCTAGACAAATAAAGGGTTTTGATGCCCTGGAGTAGGAGGTGATGGTATTAGAAAGGTAGAGAGATCCTAGAGACACAGAGTTGTGATGACAGCTCTTCTCAAACCTCCTTCCTAACTATACCTGTACCATTGGGTTTGGGCTTTTTTGTTTTTAACACGCTATTCTCTTGTTTTCTTTCATGTTTGCTTTTGTCAATGTTAACTTCTAGATGTCTAGGGAGCAGGGACGACTTAATCCTCTATGTATAGCACCCAGCACCTCAGACAGAAGCTTAGTAACTGCTATTTTGAGAACACGTATTGGTTGGGAAGCAATAATTATGGAAGAGCACTGGCCTAGTTTTGATACTAATTATATTTCCATAAGCATGAAAAGTTACTGGGTTTTACCAGTATCTTAAATATTTCAATACTAGTAGTTATTTCTGAGTAAAGTTTGAACCCCAAAACTATGATGAAAAGTATAAAAACCAACATCTAACTCCTGTGAAACTGATGAGCTCGTCAAACCTCTATGTCCTGACAGCTTGTGGTCATCAGTGACCCCCACATCAAGATTGATCCTGACTACTCAGTGTATGCTGAGGCCAAAGAACAGGGCTTCTTTGTGAGGAATCACGAAGGAGGAGACTTTGAAGGGGTATGCTGGCCTGGTAAGATAGCACTTTATATACTTATTATTTCCACTTGTTTAGTCCCAGTTAATAAAGATTGCGTGGCCATCACCCTCATTTCTTATGGATGTCTTTTGCCACAGCGTAAGCACCTTTAAGAAAGTTTTCTTGGGGCGCCTGGGTGGCGCAGTCGGTTAAGCGTCCGACTTCAGCCAGGTCACGATCTCGCGGTCCGTGAGTTTGAGCCCCGCGTCAGGCTCTGGGCTGATGGCTCGGAGCCTGGAGCCTGTTTCTGATTCTGTGTCTCCCTCTCTCTCTGCCCCTCCCCCGTTCATGCTCTGTCTCTCTCTGTCCCAAAAATAAATAAACGTTGAAAAAAAAAATTAAAAAAAAAAAAAAAGTTTTCTTTTGAATCAAAAGATCCTTTTGTATCTTCCATAACATCTGGTACAGTGTCCTCTGTATACATTTCTCAGTCAATGAATGAATGAAAAAAACAAAACAAAACAGGGAAGCCTTAATAGTACTCTAAGCAAATGAAAGTAAAAAGCCAAGGGATGAGAAAAGCAGAGGAGAAAAAAAAAGAACAAGTGGCCTAGAGTCTTTCCCTGTCAATCTTTTTCGCCTTGTTAGGCCATAGTTTTGACTTCTCAGACTCCCATGAGTGACCTCAGCTGCCTCCAGCAACTCTGGATGCTTTATTTCAGAAGGTATTAATTTAAAGCCTTGGTAGAACCTCGAGGACAAAAAGGAATCACCACTCTATCCTCTCCTGGCACTCCATCACAAATCCAAGTACTGCAGAGAAACCCCATGCATCCTTCCCCCCGCCTCCCCCTGCCCACCCTTATACCACTCATGAACACTTCTTTGTTCTCTTTAAGAACAGAAGGGTCACTCCAGATTATTTGCCATGATTACTTGGGCTATCCTGGGCCATCAGTGAGGGACAGGCTCCGTCTGGATGCTTGTTCATTGGCATTCCCCTGGGCCTCTCCGGTTGGAAAGTCTAGTCCAGATTATCATTGGAGTCCAGCAATGCCTTCGTGCACTTCTTGACAGACTGCACCTCTGTATCAACTACCTTACATTTAGGGTGCCCAGTGATTACCCAACTTTGACATCTTCTCTACAACATATCTAACCATGAGGACCACTGTTTCTCACAGTCTGTCTACTCTTCTGCCTCTACAGGTCTCTCCTCTTATCTGGATTTCACCAATCCCAAGGTCAGAGAGTGGTATTCAAGTCTTTTCACTTTCTCTGCCTATCAGGTTTGTTTTTATTCTTTTGCTCTTTCCTAGTGACTTGGGAGGATGAAAGAAGGAAAAACATGATTGAATAGAGTGCTTCATTGAGTAGCTCTTGATAAGTAATCCTGGGATGAAAATGCAAGGAAGGCAACCACATTACAGACTTTGATGGTGCAAGGAGAGGTGCCATATATATTACCAAGTGCACAAAAGCTGTGATTTCTACTTCCATTATAATAGACTCTGTGACATATCAAAGTACTTAATAATATGTTAAAATTACTATATAAATTTCACATAAAACAATATTATATAGCTTATTTAAAGATGATGATAATGATATATGTGAGAATATCTTGCAAATTATAGGGGCGCCTGGGTGGCTCGGTCAGTTAAGCGTCCGACTTCTGCTCAGGTCATGATCTCGTGGTTCATGAGTTTGAGCCCCACATCAGGCTCACTGCTGTCACGCAGAGCCCACTTTGGATCCTCTGTCCCCCTCTCTCTCTGCCCCTCCTTGCTCATGCTGTCTCTTTCTCTCTCTTGAAAATAAATAAACATTAAAAAAAACAAAAGGTGTGATAAGAATTGAAATTTTTAAAGAGGTGTAATAATAAATCAATTCTTAAAATATTATAAATATAGATAAAATATATAAAAAAAGAAATATGTCAAAAACTAGAAGAAAGAACTGGAGAGGCCACTTCTAGAAAACAGTTTTCAACCCATTATGAGGATGATAATAATGATGTTTAGCATAAATTGAGTATTGCTGTGTGCCAAGCACTGTGCTAAGCACTTTATGTACATTTTACCATTTCATCTTCAGAGTAACCTCTGAGGTTGAAACTATAATGAATTCTAATCCCACAGATGAGGAAACTGACAATATGGACAAGTTTAAAACCCCACTAAGTTCGCTCATCTTAGTAAGTGGTAGACCTAAGATTTGAAGTCTGTTTGTCTCCCAAGCCCAAATCTTAACTACTAAACTCTAATTTTTTTTTTTCAATTTAAATTCGAGTTAGTTTACATATAGTGTAATAATGATTTCAGGAAAATAGAATTTGTTGGGATGAGCCCTGGGTGTTATATGTTAAGTGATGAATCACTAAGTTCTATTTTCCTGAACTCTTCTTTATCCATTCATCAGTCGATGAACATTTGGGCTTTTACAGGGCCTGGATGTTACAAGGAGCAGGACATTTAGAAAGCAATGGAATGAGCTGCCTGAAGGACTCCCTGTCATTGTAGCTATGAGTCAAGTGCTGAGAGACCAGGATTCTATAAAAGGGATTTCAACACCATGGTGACTAGATGACTCAAAAGCCCCTTCCCACCCTAAATTGAACAATTCTATGCAGAACACAAACTCTAGACCATGCTACCAAACAGGTATTTTACCTTTCAAATCTTGCAGAGTATTAGAGGGAAGGCAGAATCTTATCATGGACAGCTATAAATGCCCTTAGTTAAGAGTTTTTGGGGTGCCTGGGTGGCTCAGTCAGTTAAGTGTCTGACTCTTGATCTCGGCTCAGGTCTTGATCTCAGGGTCATGAGTTTGAGCCCTGCATTGGGCTCCATGCTGGGCATGGAGCTTATTTTTTTAAAAAAAGGTTGCAGCAGATAATGGATGTTATAGGACCTAACCTTGAACACTCACACAACCTTTCCTATAGGGGTTCTCCAGGGTAGGTGTTGAAGTGTACTTGCTGGGCAGTATTTCATATACAATACAGCACAGTATTCTTTCATTTATCAGCAAATACTTATTGGGAACCTTTTGTGGTTCAGGTACTGTTCCAGGTGTTTATGAGCAAGACTGATAAAATTCCCCACCTTGTGGACCATTTATTGTAGCATTGGAACAGAAGACAGAGCATAGATAATAAACACAATAAATAATTAAATCGAGTATGAAAGAGGAATAGGGTGGCTATCATATTAACATCATCACTATAGGAGTATTATCATGGCTGAGGAAGAAATTTACTTCTTAGGGATCTACTGACATCCTCTACATATGGAACGACATGAATGAGCCCTCTGTCTTTAGAGGACCAGAGCTAACCATGCAGAAGAATGCCATTCATCATGGCAATTGGGAGCACAGGGAACTTCACAACATCTATGGTTTTTATCAGGTAAGACATCCATAGAGAAGTCACCTGGACCCAAATGCCCTGACTTTTGGGTTGAAAGTCATTTGTAATAGCCATATTATATTGTTCATTTCTCTTTGTGGGTCTTATCAAGTTGTAGCCAATAAAGGACTTACTATTTCTCCCTTTGCACCTTTCTTTCTATAATAAACTTGATGAATTATAGATATATGAGATTAACAATAACATAGAAACATCTTCTTTGGCAGGAGTCATTAGTAAATGACATTGAATACTTAAAGACTTTTGGGGCGCCTGGGTGGCGCAGTCGGTTAAGCGTGCGACTTCAGCCAGGTCAAGATCTCACGGTCCGTGAGTTCGAGCCCCGCGTCGGGCTCTGGGCTGATGGCTCAGAGCCTGGAGCCTGTTTCCGATTCTGTGTCTCCCTCTCTCTCTGCCCCTCCCCCGTTCATGCTCTGTCTCTCTCTGTCCCAAAAATAAATAAACGTTGAAAAAAAAATTTTTTTAATAAAAAAAAAAATACTTAAAGACTTTTTTTTGAAGTAGGGTAGGCAATGTGTAAATACATAAACAAAGACAATTAAAACAAATGTTTTAAAATTTCATAAATCTTATATTCATACCAGGGGAACAAGATTTAGAACATAGATATACAATTTCAGTAAGTCTTTAAATGCAGAAAGCCTTAATTAACTACTTAGCCTTTTCATTAGAAGGTGGTAGAATTGTCTTCCATTTGCCAATCACATCCAAAACATATGTCAGTCATTTGCCCCTACTGATATCCGTAGTTCTTTGTTATTTTCATCCTGTGTTCCTATGGCTCTCCCATCAATTGATATTTTCTAGTGGGAGTTGCTGTCTATATATAGCACAGTTCAGATTATGTGTTTACTTCTTTAAAAGCCTCTTGCTATAACTGAAAACTACTTTAGAGAATTTTCTTATGTTGGCCAGGGCCAGTCACTTAACAACCTCTTTGAATCTCATTTTTTTCCATCATTGAAAATGCTCTGTCTCAGAGGGTGTTCTGTAGATTATAAGAGAAAATCTTATAAAATGCCTAACAATAGTAAGCACTGAATAATTCTATCTTATTATTTACTATTATTCCATTGCTATTTTAATCAAAGAAAATCTTCCACTCTTAATATGGGAATTTAGAGTAGTTTTATTGCATTATGAAAATTATTTGATAGATTTATTTTAATATTTTCCATTTATATTCCCACCTATTTACTTTTGCATGTCTAATAGCTTATTAGGATGTTTGCACAATGCTCTAATCTAATCATCCCTTTGAAAGTTTTCTCCTTTGCCTTTGTAGCAAATGGCTACTGCAGAAGGACTGATACAGCGATCTAAAGGAAAGGAGAGACCCTTTGTTCTTACACGTTCTTTCTTTGCCGGATCACAAAAGTATGGTAAGGCATGGTTCATATGATCAGACTTAAAAACATAAATTTGCAAACTTTTTTTTTTTTTTGTATGGTATATGGTGCTACTGTGTTGATGCCTTTTTTTCCAGTGGCCCTTCTGCAGGCCTAGGATTGTAGCAAGTGACGTTCCCGGAAGTATGCCTTTTGTCCTGTGACACAAAGTAACTCAATTTTAATAAAGTTTAGTTACTTGTTTCCCACTGAAGAAATGGCCACTTAGTTGCTGGGAGAATGACTTCAGAGTATCTCAGTTTGCTGGGATGGTCATCTCTGATTCTGTCTATTTGATTTATCTAAACCAGGGGAAATCTACTCCTTACACATTCCTTCAACCACCTGTTCCACTTAGTAATATGGCTTAAAATAGACCTGGCTGTTGCTTGTGGTCAGGTCATCTATAACTGGATTCAGTTTACTAGCTAATGCAGATCTAATTCAACTTAACCACGTTCCAGCAGGAAGGCTATTTTAAGTCCCCTGGCCTTGCATAAATAACTAAGAGCTTAGGTTCTAGTCTGAAGAGTCCAGCCTTTACTGTATCATACACATTATTAGGCCTCCTCCGCCAGCCCTGAAAACCAGCCCCTGTGGTACTCTGGAAAAGGCCACAATATTGTTATCTCAGGCAAAGATTCATGCACATAGATGCTCACCATAGCGTTAGTCCTTGAAACAGAAAAAGAAAGAAAATCCAAATAAGGGAATATTTATAAAAGCATGATATATCCATATGATAGACTATCATAAGGCTATTTAAAATGGTACCTCTTAATTGCATGAGCAAATGTTTGTGACATCATGATAAGGGGGGGGGGGACCAGAATGTTTAAATGTTGTTACAGTGTATTATCACAATTTTGTTTAAAAAATAGAGATAGCAATCTAAATCAATAAGTTTAGTACCTTGGTGATTATGAGTGATTTTTAAATTTTCTTCTTTTTACCTATCTCTATTTTCCAAATTCTCTACAAGAATCATTTTTAATCACTAAAAAATGTCAAGTATTGGGGTGCCTAGTTGGCTCGGTTGAGCGTCCCATTTTTGGTTTTGGCTAAGGTCATGATAGCACAGTTCATGAGTTCAAGCCCCGCATCAGGTTCTGAGCTGACAGATTCTCTCTCTCTCCCTCTTGGGATTCTCTCTCTCCCTCTCACCCTGCCCCTTCCCCACTCTCATGCATGCTCTCTATCAAAATAAATAAACATTTTTTTAAGTCAAGTATTTTTTTTTAATTTCTTAATGTGGATTTTATTTTTTAGAGAGAGAGAGAGAGACAGACAGAGCCCAAGCAGGGGAAGAGCAGAGAGAGAGGGAGACAAAATCCAAAGCAGGTTCCAGACTTTGAGCTGGCAGCATAGAGCCCAACTCGGGCTTCAAACTCTCAGACTGCAAGATCATGACCTGAGCCAAAGTCAGACACTTAACCGACTGAGCCTCCCAGGTGCCCCTAAAAAGTAAATTTTATGAAAATACTAATAAGAAAATGAAAATACTAATAGGTAGCAGTTAAAAAGAGATAAAAGATATGAATACTAAGTAATCTCCAATCTCTTAAATATCAGCCTACTGCCTAGTCTTCAATACTCTGTGAAACTATCAGCCCTCCCCAAAGTGTAGCAAGTGAGGCATTACAGAGAACACTACTGTATTAAGTTTTCTGCTTAGACCAATAGCCAGAGCTCACTTCTGACTAAACAACCATATGACACATGAAAATATCTGCATGCTTACAGGAACTTTCTCTCTTGACCAGAATGCCACCATGTTGATTTCACAATCATTTTGTTTCATTTGAAGTCAAGGAGAAATTACTAGAGTACCTTGAAAAAAAAAAAAATCAGTCCCTTGAAAATATTTTTCTTCACTGGCCATAGGACAACCTAAAATTTCTGTGGAAGATTAAAACAAAAATAGCTTTCAGAACTATTTTGATAGAAGATAGACAAAAATGCCTCAGGACTAATTTAGATTTAGTAAAGTAAGATTTTTTTTTCTTGTGTGAATGAATCTCTTTAGTGGTATATAATTTATCTTCACAATGTCTTATCAACTCTACAATGATCAAGAGCAGTGGCTTTAAAGTCACACTCCCTGGGCTCAAATCCTGCCTCTATCACTTAGTAACTATGTATTTTAATCCACTGTTGGCCATATTTCCTTCATCTGTAAAATGAAGTTAACTAGTGTTTACCTGATAATGTTGTGATGATTCAGTGAGCTACTACAAGCCAAATAGTATCACCTGCCTCCATCAGACCTTGATAAATGTTAACTATTGTCCTTGCTACTGTTATTATGCCTCCCTTATACAGTCTGTACCACTCCTCTTAAATTATAGAGTGGCTTTTTTGAGAGGGGGTGTAGGAATAGGCATAAAAATCAATGGAACGGAATAAAGAATCCAGAAAGAGTCCAACACCCATATGATTAATTAATTAAATAGGAACAGAGTTGCCAAGGCAATTCAATGGAAAGAGGAGTTTTTCAATAAATGGTGTCACAACACTGGGTATGGAGGTGGGGGAAGGAAAGAACCTTGACCCTTACCTCTTACCATACACAAAAATTAATTCAAAATGGAATATAGACCTTAACTATAAAAGATAAAACAAAAACTTCTAAAAGGAAACATAAAAACTCTTTGTGACTTTGAGGTAAACAAGATTTATTGGATGGAACACAGAAAGCATGAACTATAAAAGGAAAAAAATGCTAAGTCAGACTTTATCAAAATTGAAAACTTCTACCCTTTCAAAGATATTAAGAAAATGAAAGTCAGAGATGCCTGGGTGGCTTAGTAGGTAAGCTTCGACTTCAGCTCAGTTCATGATCTCACAGTTTGTGAGTTTGAATCCCACATTGGGCTCTGTGCTGACAGCTCATAGCCTGGAGCCTGCGCCAGATTCTGTGTCTCCCTCTCTCTCTGTCCCTCCCCTGCTCGTGCTCTCTCTTTCTCTCTCAAAAATAAACATTAAAAAAAAATTTTGTTTAATCAATCAATAATAAAAAGACATGTACTTTTAAAAATAGCAAAAGATTTGAATAGACACTTTACAAAAGAAAACATATAAATGATCCATAAATACATGAAAAGATGCTCAAAATCATTAGTCTTTAGAGAAATACAAATTAAAACCACAGAGAGACACCACTACACATCCATTACAGCAGCTGTAATTAAAAAGACACATTACCAGGTGCCTCAGTTAAACGTTCAACTCCTGTTTTCGACTGGGGCCATGATCTCGTGGTTTTTTAGTTGGAGCCCCACGTCGGGCTCCACACTGAGAGTGTAGTCTGCTTGGGATTCTCCCTGTCTCTGTCTCTCTCTCTTTCCCTCTCTCTGCTCCTCCCCCACTCACTCTCCCTGTCTCTCTAAATAAATTAATTTTAAAACAATTCTAATTAAAAAAAATTTTTAAAGACACACTACCAAGTGTTGCCAAGAATGTAGAGCAACTGAAATTGTCATGTATTAATAACGTAAAAGTAGTACAACCACTATGCCAAATGGTTCGAAGTTTTCTTAAAGTATGCAACATACACTGAACACAGACCTAGCAATTCCACTCCCAGATAGCTACCCAAGAGAAATGAAAACATATGGCATGTGATTGGGACACAAATGTTTATAGCCGCTTCATTCACAATAGCCAAAACTTGCAAAGAATCCAAATGTCCATCAATAGATGAGTGGCTAAACTTGTGATAGATCCATGCTATACAAAACTATTCAGCAAATAAAAAGGAATAAACTATAACATTATGCTGAGTGAAAAAAGCTATAACACAAAATAGTATATGTTTCCATTTATATAAAATTCTAGAGAAGATATAGAAATCAGATCAATTGTTAGGTAAAGTGGAAGGTTAATGACTGCAAAGAAGCCCAGTGATCATTTACACTGTTTCTGTACCCTGCTTGTGGTGACAGTTACAGGTTTTTGAGCTCAGACTCTTCACTTAAAATAGGTACATTTATTATATGCAAATTATATTTCAGTAAAGATGATTTTTTTCATGTTTCTCCTAAAATCAGACTTGAGTTATACTTCAAAAATAAGTGCCATTTCAGAATATTTTTACAAAATGTTTTGTGGATTTTAAGAACTTTTTCACATTAGAAAATCAATATATTTTCGTTGTAGAAACCAGATTTTGTATATTTTAAGGTAAGAAAGAAATGTTTTCCTTTATATTAATTTGTCTATTTCAAATAAAGAATCTATGAAATTGAGTGCATGAGCTGATTTGTGATTTTTTTTTCATACCTTGTTACTGGTGATCAAAGGTGCTGTGTGGACAGGCGACAACACGGCAGAATGGAGCTACCTGAAAATTTCTATCCCTATGTTACTCACCCTCAGCATTACTGGGATCCCTTTTTGTGGAGGTATGATGATATCCACAAGCTTGAAGTGAGAGAAAATAAAAAACTAGGGTGTTTCTCCATCCAAGCTGGTCACAAATGCCTTCTCATTATCTGCTTTGGGAGGGATAACTGTGGAAAAAAGAAAATGAGGAAATTGAAGGGATACTTCCAAGCTGTTTGTGTCTCGTCTGAAGTGAGGGCATGAAATAAAGTCATCAGAGAGCCCAGAGTGCCTGGGTGGCTCAGCTGGTTAAGCATCCAACTTCAGCTCAGGTCATGATCTCCCAGTTTGTGAGTTTGAGCCCTGCATCAGCGAGAACATGGAGACTGGAACCTTCTCTGCCCCTGCTCGTGCTCTCTCTCTCTCTCTCAAAAATAAGTAAACATTAAAAAAAAAATTTTTTTTAAGTCATCAGAGAGCCCGAGTGCTTTTTTCCCTCTTTCTCTGATTCCTCCTTAGATGCTCTTGATAACTGAGTTTTTCTGAAACATACCTTTTCATCAAAGTGAGAAAAATGGAGAGAAGTACAAAGAATTTAGCAAATCAGAGATAAGCCTTACAGAAATCCTTTTTTACTCAGCAGGTTTAAAATGGTGTGACACATTTTAACTGTTTAAAAAAAAAAAAGATATGCTCTTGGGAAAGATAAATTTAGTTAAAATACGATTCCCTGATGGGTTGCTTTCCCTAAATCCTAGTAATTGTCTGTGGATGAGAAATCCCAGTATGGAAGGTGCTCGGCAAGACTAGCTCCAGCTGCTCCTTGTTTTCTGTAGGAATAGAAGCAACTTAATGTCACACACATTTTAACAGATGTGTTTCTTATGGTATTGGTCCACAGACAAGAAATATGTATCCTCCTTAAGGACCAAGCATCACATTCTCCCTAAGTCTCTAATTCTGATTGTCTGTTTTTTAGATCAGTAATTTTTATCTTGCTTTCAGCTGTTGCTTTCAAAAGGAAATCAGTTGCCAACATCCTTACCCCGGCCCTGAACATACTTATTGAGACAGGTCGACATTTTGCAATTTCTGGGTTTGGGAACATAACAGAAATGTTAATCTTGCGGCAAAACCTCTGACCTTTGGACAAGAAAAGAGTATTCGAAGAGAATATTGTCAGCTCCCCAAACAGGCTGAGTTTTTAAATACGTGCTCCCTAATTTCAGGCCACAGTTTTATCCTGTCATTTTGAGTGTACATACAGCACATTTATCCCGTCCGTCTTCAAGCCCTCATTTTACCGGTGTGCAGTATTTGTTAGAAGTCCGGTTGCCTCACTTGGCCTTTCTTTGCCTAACCAGCTGACGTAGGTGGCTTCATTGGGAATCCAGAAGCAGAGCTGCTAGTGCGTTGGTACCAGGCCGGAGCCTACCAGCCCTTCTTCCGGGGCCACGCTACCATGAACACCAAGCGGCGGGAGCCATGGCTCTTTGGGGAGGAACACACCCGGCTCATCCGAGAAGCCATCAGACAGCGCTACACCCTCCTGCCCTATTGGTATTTTCTGTTCTACCGGGCACATGTGGCTGCCGAACCCGTCATGAGGTAAATAGGCTTCACCAGTTGGGGGCCCCAGCACCCAATCTACACCAGAAAAATCCCCTAGCCATTGGGGAACTCAGTAATTACACAGTGATTTCAAGAGAAAAGCCATGTGTTTAATCAGCTGTCAATCAGATTATTGAGCACCCACTGTGAGCAGGGTCAAGGAGTTGAGGTCAAAGAAAAGCCAGATCCCCTGCTACTTTGTAATTCAAGTGTTAATATTTGCTAGAAGACAGAAATATAGATTTTTTTCAAAGAAAAAGGAAGTGACTATAACTGAATTCATGGTTTTAACCCACAAGCATCCTCTCATGAAGAGCAACTTACTCTGCTGGTCTTGGAGTCTGTCTTACTCTTAGGGCTAAACCATTCCAAGTTGGAGGTGAACATTTTTTCCTGGCGTATAAATTATATTCTGATTCTATTTTGGAGGCAAGATGTGAAAAACCTACTTTCTAGGTTACTGAATGATACAGAGACACACATAGTACACCAAGGCTTCCAGATCAGCACTTCCTAAACCTGGCTCAGATCAGAATCACCTGGGGGGGGGGGAGAGCTTTTTAAAACTATAGATTTCAAGGCCATACCTCCAGACCTGCCAGGAATCTCCTTGGGTAGATCTCAGGATCTGTATTTGTTAGAAGTTTCCCTGGTAATGCTAGACATCAGCCAGAAGGAAAGACTACTGCTTTGTTACTATTCAGTAGGAAAAGGATCTGTTATTACAAAGGCTAGTGAATAAACTAAAAATAAATTTATCTTACTAAAAAAATATCCTTTACTCATGAGGTTGCAAAAAGCATTAGAACCATTAAGCTGATATCCAGATACACAGATGTTGAAGATTTTATCTTTATAAGCCCAAAGGCCTCCTAGATAGTTGTGTAAAAGAATAAAAAAACAAGGGGCGCCTGGGTGGCGCAGTCGGTTAAGCGTCCGACTTCAGCCAGGTCACGATCTCGCGGTCCGGGAGTTCGAGCCCCGCGTCAGGCTCTGGGCTGATGGCTCAGAGCCTGGAGCCTGTTTCCGATTCTGTGTCACCCTCTCTCTCTGCCCCTCCCCCATTCATGCTCTGTCTCTCTCTGTCCCAAAAATAAATAAACGTTGGAAAAAAAATTAAAAAAAAAAAAAAAGAAAAAAACAAAACCACACAGCTGTTTCTCAACCCTCCAAAAATGTTGCCAGCATGAAAACAAGTAAAACCAGTTCTTTTCATTTAATATAGGTAATAATTAAGGATGCACAAAAGGCAGTGACAGTATGAAAACATGGCACAGATTTTACATCATCATAAAAATACGGTTTTACACACATTTAATTTGTTCCACACTGAATGTGTTGGGCATTTGGACTTGCCCAAAGCTCTGATTCTGCCTTCAGAGTAGTCAGTGCTCAACAATCGGAAGGAAAAATTGTACTTACCAGAATTCTCAATCTTTCATTGGAGCGTTCCAGTGAGTAGATAGGTCTTTCACATTAGAACAATATATAGTAATCCTAGCAATTGCTCATAAAATCTTAAATCACATGAAAAGAGTCTTGACTCTTTGGCTTTTTCCAATTTCCTTTGAGTAGTTATAAAACTGAAAATATAAGTGATTTAATAGTAATAAAACATTTAGTAATGTTGAGGTAAGAATTTTTTTTTCTTTCCCCAGGCCTCTATGGATAGAGTTCCCAGAGGAATTAAACACTTTTGGTGTGGAAGATGAATATATGCTAGGTGAGTTCTTATCACTATGATAAATATATTGTAATTATGTTTTTGTTATATTTCCTAGTATAAGAGCACTAAAAAAAAAATCGCTAATCTCAAGACAGCCAAAAAATAAAAAGTAATTCTGTCATTAAGATTTTTAGTGTATTGGGGCGCCTGGGTGGCTTAGTCGGTTGGGCGTCTGACTTCAGCTCGGGTCGTGATCTCATGGTTTGTGAGTTCGAGCCGCACGTAGGGCTCTGTGCTGACAGCTCGGAGCCTGGAGCCTGCTTCAGATTCTGTGTCTCCCTCTCTCTGTTCCTCCCCCACTCGCACTCTCTCTCTCTCTCAAAAACAAATAAAGATTAAAAAAATATATTTTTAGTGTATTAATTAATGGAAAGATAGCTCTATTCTGTGGTCATGTTGCACTTCTCATATTGTTAACTTCATATAAATCTATTCTGTTTGTGGATGCAATTTCAGGTTCTTGTTCTGGTCCACTTATAAGCTTTATGATACCACTATAGGGAATGGAAGTAGACCAGACTCAGAGGGCTTACTTCATAAGCAAAATAGGGTTGTTGATGTTGTTGGCCTCTTCTTTAACAAGGTTTGGCCACCAAATCCACAATAGGGACATTTATCATCTTGGAAATAGGACTCAAGAAACCATGCTCAACAGAGAATTGCCCAAAAGGTGAATCCTGTTTCTAAGGAGTGGAAATCCTAAAACACAAAAAGCTTCACGCTCTCTCTCCAATCATTCTTAGGTCTCAGTTTAAATAGCTACTTCCTTGGAGAACATTTCCCTGACCAGAATTGCTTCTAATACCCAATTACACCTAAATTTAGTCAAAGTCAGTCCCTCTTATTACATAACTTTCATTCCGTTTTGTGCTTTTGCCTTTTTGGTTTTTGTCCCAACTCTAATTTGTAATTATTTGTTTAATAACTGTCTTTACTGACTGCAGACTCCATGAGGATAGGCATATTGTCTGTCTTATTTGCCACTCTATCTCCAGAGCCTAGCATAATGCCTGGCACTCACCCGGAACTCAATAAATATTTGTAGAATTAAAGAGTGAATTCATAAATGGATGAAATTTATATACATATGGGGCCATGGTCAAAACAAAATTAATAATCCAGATTGCCTTTAAGAGAATTCCAGCGGGGCGCCTGGGTGGCTCAGTCAGTTAAGCGGCCAACTTCGACTCAGGTCATGATCTCACGATCCGTGAGTTCGAGCCCCGCGTCGGGCTCTGTGCTGACAGCTCGGAGCCTGGAGCCTGTTTCAGATTCTGTGTCTCCCTCTCTCTCTGACCCTCCCCTGTTCATGCTCTGTCTCTCTCTGTCTCAAAAATAAATAAACGTTTAAAAAAAAAAAAGAATTCCAGCCTTCCTAATGATAACTGCCCACTGCCCCACTGATACACTCCTATCCATGCTGACCACAGTTCTGGATAACAGTTGTAGGCTCACCGTTTTCAAAGTCACTTACAGAAAACAGTGACGCACTTGGAGAAGTGCAGTAGCTCCTCCAGACTCCTGGCATACGAGCAGCTGTGCACAGGAGACTGTGATGGACTGTGGCAGGGTCCCTCTCTATTACCCTAATATGCCATAAATAGATTAGTGATAATTAAGAATACAGTCCCCGATTTGAGCAGTGGTCCCCTCTCCAAAGTGCATCTCTCTGATGAATCATTGGTTCAGTTCACCAAGGTCTGTACTTTCACCAGGTTCATAGTTGAGTGATCTCTACAACGACAAAAGCACGCAGAGGAGAAGGATGTTTTCAGACTTCTTAGAATGATGTTCAACTTTATTTCTTCTCTGTTTTTCAGGAAGTGCTTTATTGGTTCATCCAGTCACAGAACCAAAAGCCACCATAGTCAGTGCGTTTCTGCCAGGATCAAATGAGGTAAGAATAAATGAGAAACAGCCACATATCTTACATGTCTCATATCTTCTCCCTTCACTCTGATGAATTAGCCCCTGTTAGGACATAGATTTCTGCATCATGCAGTTGGGAAGACAGCCCAAATGTCTATAGCAACTCAAGATTCTTGTAAATCATGACCTCAGAGGTCAAGAAACATAACGAAAGAGTGGGGAGAAAGATGAATAGGTGACAACACCGGGGAGGGTCAGAAGGTTCTTTACCTTCACGCTTTGACTTGTGTAAGTGACTCCTTGTTAACACATGGAGGCTTTGAGTAGGAAGAAATCTTCAGTCTACTAAGAGGTATGAGTGTGTGGGGGGAAACATAAGTAAGAAGAGACTTTGCTCATTGGTTCTGGCCCTATCTAAATCCTAAGTTTTTGGTACTAAAAGCTGTCTCCAGGCACTTGCCAAAGTGGGTAAAAAGTAACAATGGTGACTTCCTTTGTGCCTCCCCCGCCCCCAGCCTCCCAGTTCTTTTATTAGTTATTGGCTTTGATTATTATCACTGTATAAAATAGCACCCTGGACTTCTGGAGCCCAGGGCACTGAACCAAGGCAGGACACGGGAAGAGGTGGGATTAGCCCATGGGATGCAGAGCAGAGATCCACAAGCAGTAACAGCAACACCCTCCAGAGACAGACCATGGATGGTGCAAAGGGGCCAGGAGAAGAGGCAGGGCAGAAACTTGGGGCACCAGACCGGGTAAAGAAGGTATGGAATGGAGAGCAAAGAGGAGACAAATCCTGGAGAGAGTCCTTGAGGACTGGAACATCGCCAGAGACCTTTGTAGCCAGGGGGAGGAGGTGTGGTTACCAAACTGATGTGAGACGTCCATGTCAACATATTCCTGGACTGTCAAGGCTTGTGGTGAGGTAGCTGAGCCGGGCCATGCTTAGTGCTCAGTACTGTCGAGTGCCGGTGAGGCAATACCACGAAACATCCAGCACTGGCATTCTCCCTCCATCCAGCTTTACCTGTGGGGTTGCTGTATTCGTTTCCTGAGGCCGCTGTAACAAATTACCACAAATCTGGTGGCTTAACTTAGCAAAAATTTATTCTCTCCCAGTTCTGAAGGCTTGAAGCCCCACATCAAGGTGTCAGCAGGGTTGGTTCCTCCTGGAGGTCCTGAAGGAGAATCTATTCCATGACTCTCTCCTCGTTTCTGGTGGCTGCCTGCAGTTCTTGTAGTTCCTAGCTTTGTAGCCACAGCACATCACCTAATATATGCCACCATTGTCACGGCACCTTCTCCTCTGTGCGACTGTGTCTCCTCTTCTGTCTCTCATTTGAGGACCCTTGAGATGACATTTAGGACCCACCTGGATAATCCCAGATGATCTCCTACTCCCAAAATCAAATTTGTTACCACAGGAAGGAATATTCACTCCTAGGGATTAGGAAGTACATACACCTTTTTGAGGGGCCACCATTCAGCCCACTATGTTTGTCATTATTGATATGGCAATACCCTGGCTCTTCTCCAGAATGTTCATAAATTATGTTCTTTCCTCTTGATTTCTCCAGTAATTTGCAGTTCTGAAGATGAGGGCTCTTTACAAAGGTTCCCCCTGAGTAAACAACAACAGCTAAATAAACTGTTAGGCCAAGCACTTCTGCCGAGAGTTTTGCAATTCGATTTTAATAAAGCAACAGCCTCAGGGCCCCTGGGTGGCTCAGTTGGTTGAGCATCCGACTTCGGCTCAGGTCATGATCTCACGGTCCGTGAGTTCGAGCCCCGCGTCAGGCTCTGTGCTGACAGATCAGAGCCTGGAGCCTGTTTCAGATTCTGTGTCTCCCTCTCTCTCTGACCCTCCCCTGTTCATGCTCTGTCTCTCTCTGTCTCAAAAATAAATAAACGTTAAAAAGAATAATAAAAAAAATAAATAAAGCAACAGCCTCCTGTTAAGAGGAACTAGTTCCCTCATGACTTAGCCACAAATTAAGTTTTTTATTAATTTTTTAACTAATAAAACATGTTCTTAATGATCTATCATCATTGCAAGCACATCGTTGTGACTGTGTAACATATTCCTTCAACGTCATTTCCCAGAGTGTTCTATGATTGTTTCTCTCATTACATCTTCACAGACCCTGGATAGGAGAGCCAAGCCCTTGACCTCATCAGTCAGCTAGTATAACATCGCACTGTGCAAGGGGGCTACCTATCGTCCCTTGTTGTCACTTTTCCTCATATTTCTAGATGGCCCATTCCCTCTACTTCAAGTCTTTGCTCAAATAGTTTTTTCTCAGTGAGGCCTTCTCTGACCACCTAGTTAAGATTACAGATCACTCCCACTGCCCCTGGTACTGTCCAGCCTGTCTTCATCCTTCATTTTTCCCACAGAACCTGCCACCTTTAACATACTAGATATTTACTTACATGTTTTGTTTATTATCTTCCTCTCCCATTAGAATGTTAGCTTCTTAAGGGCGGTGATTTTCATCTGTTATGTTCACTCTATATCCTCAGCATCTAGATGGGTATCTGATGGGTAGAAGGCCTTTAGTAAGTACTTAGTGAGGAGCTTGGTGACTGAGCACTAGGTCTGATCTACATGGTACTTTATACCAGTTTACCCTTCCTAGGCTAGGGATGTTTGTATATAGTACCAGAGCACATACTCTATACCTCTTATTCTAATTAGTTCCGGAAATGACAGACAGGTAATTCCAAAATCTTATTTAAGCCAGTTTTTTGGTGTTTTTTTTTTGTTTTGTTTTGTTTTGTTTTACCTTTCACTCCCACTACTCTTTATCTAAAGGTACTGGAATTTGCCAAAGAAAGACATTATAAGAAAAGAAAGCTAAGACAATATCCCTCATAAACACAGATGCAGAAATCCTTGACAAAACATTAGCAAATTGAATCCAGCCAAGGATAATACATAGAGACAAGGTGGGTTTGATCCAGTTGAATTAAGAGTTCCCTGTAGCTGAGGATGGTCAAGTCACAGCCCTCTCACATTCACAGCAGGACGGTGACAGAGTCAACAGTGCAGCTATATAAAGGATGTGGTAATCCCAGGAGGTGAACTTGCGAAACAGACTCCTTGGCTGCCATAAATTATACGGCTAGAAGAGAGAAAAAGAGGTTTTTGTTTCCACGCTGCTGCTGCTGGGATCTTAAGGATTTTATTCCATCTAATTACTTTGTAGGACCTTCTTGTTAACTTCAGCAACTAAACCCCCTTGATGAGGATCCCAGATAAGAATTTGAACCTTATCAGTGAATCGTACTCTGCTTTAAAAAAAAAAAAATGATATCATAGTAGCAATCCAAGTTTCCACTTGCCTTTCTCCAAAACCTGTTTCCTTCTCTGACACTTTCCTTTTCTCCCACTCATTTATAATTTATTTGCTTGCACTGTGCTTTTCTTCATTATTGCTTTTCCTTTATTCCATCGTCTTTTTTATTGCTACACACAGTAAGTTTATAAGACAACCAAATTATAAAATCCATGACAGCAGGAACTCTGTCTTTCTGTTGACTCACATATGCCTAGCAGTGCTGGGCATGTGGCAGATTGTTCAATAAATAACTTTTGGATGGACAGATGGACAAATAAGTGGCCTTTCAGTCAACTTAATCTATCACGGTACTAGGTTAGTCTTTTGGGACCTTCTTAAAAGCATATGTTCTTCCTAACTTCTATTCCAGATTTTTTAAAAATTGTGCCTATTTTTTTTTTTTGAGCTTAGTTTTCTGGGTATTTGAAATCCAGATAAATGGATGTTTTACTGAATAATGAAATTGTGAGCAGAGTTGCTCATATACTCTCTCTCATTAGGGTCTGTTCCTTTTCAGGTCTGGTATGACTCTAAAACGGGTACTTATTGGGAAGGAGCATGTACTGTGAAGATCCCAGTAACTTTGGACTCTGTAAGTTGTTTTCAGGCTGTAATTTTTACCTACTGTGCTCTATCAGTCTGCTTGGACTGCCGTGATAAAACACCATAGACTGGGTGGCTTAACCAACAGAAGTTGGTTTTCTCACAGTTTGGGAGGCCAGATGTTCCAGATTAACGGGCCAACCAATTCATTTCCTGCTGAGGACTCTCTCCCTGGCATGTACACAGCCTCCTTCTTTCTGTGTCCTCACATGGCAGAGAGAGAGCGTGCACTCTTTGGTGCCTCTTCTTATAGACACTAGTCCTGTCAGATCAGGGCCTCACTTTTTGGCATCATTTAACCTTAATTACCTCTTTAAAGGTCCTGTTCCCAAATACAGTCACATTGGTGGTTGGGGCTTCAACATATGAATCTTGTCGGGACACAGACACTCAGTCCATAACATGTGCCTGCATAGCGAGAACCAAGGACATAGTGTTCTGCATAACAACACTTATAGAGAGAGTCAAAAAGCAGATTAATGGTTGCATAAGGATGGGGCAGAGAGAGGGCTTGGGAGCAATGGGGAATGACTGCTAATGGGTACAGAGTTTCTTTTTAGGGTGATGAAAATGTTTCAAACTTGATTGTGGTGATGGGTACATGACTCTCAATATGCTAAAAAAACATTTAATTGTACATTTTAAGTGGTTGAATCATATGGCATGTAAATTATACCAATAAAGCTGTTAAAATGTGAGAAAAAAAGAATAAACATATAGCCTGGTCTCACGGTATGAAACATCAAGGACAAACAATTCTTCCCCATATATTTACATTTGTATGTGTAAGAAAAACAGGAACACTGAAAATGGAGTAAAAATCCCGGTCACCACACACACCATATGGAATGTCTTTCTACCAGACCAAGTCACAAAACATGAGTTTTCAGTTGTAACCCTGGACCTCTAGGTGCAAGGAAGGCTGTCAGTTTCGATGTTGGAATCACAGGGGCCCATCCCACCTGAACTTGTGACGGGGAGTTTGCTCTTGCAGCTAAATCACAACCACTACTGCAGACCCTAAGTAGTGTTAAGAGTAAGAAACATTTATTGAGGTTGTTTTTTGAAAGCTGTCATCAGCAGTATGGACTCCATAATAAAATGATTTCAAATTTCAACTTTCAGATCTAGAAGAGACTTTAACATTCATTGACTTGAGTCTGTCATGCTTACAGAGGAAGAACCTGAGTTCAGAGAAGTTAAATTACTTGTCCAGGCTTATGGCTAGATTTTGGCAGAACTGAGAGAAGAATCCAGGCCAGCCGCACTCCCACTTCAGAGCCCATTCTGTACTAACCTACTACCTCGGTCTTTGAGAAAAGAAAAGACGAAGCGATGGGATGATGAGGGTGGGGAGATAAAAGCACTTTACTCCTTGCTGCAAACTGTGAGTCAGGCAGAGGGTGGACATCTTATCTACTCCACCCTCACACCCAACTTCATCTGTATTCGTGTACTTTTCTCCCTCTGGTACTTTACTCGGTGAAGTACAAGCCCCCATGTGATTTAGGGAGCTTCCTTACAGAGGACTGTATGGGGAGGCAGGAGACCTCCTGGGCTTTCTGTGCTGGGAATGCCACTCCAGAAGAACCATAGGTATGGGCCATGTCTATAACACTGTTGTTAGAGTCACTTAAAGTGCTTTCGGGGGGCGCCTGAGAGGCTCAGTCGGTTAAGCGTCCGACTTCAGCTCAGGTCACGATCTCGCGGTCCGTGAGTTCGAGCCCCACGTCAGGCTCTGGGCTGATGACTCAGAGCCTGGAGCCTGCTTCCGATTCTGTGTCTCCCTCTCTCTCTGCCCCTCCCCCGTTCATGCTCTGTCTCTCTCTGTCTCAAAAATAAATGTTGAAAAAAAAAATTTTTTTTTTAAAAGTGCTTTCAGGGTTTCTATAACAGAAGTTTCACAAATTTACTCTCAGAATTGAGTCAGGCATCCTGGTGACTCAGGAAAGCAGGGAGCAGGTAGGGTATGGACTGTAGTGAGTAAGGACAAAGTCATCTCCCTGAAACCAAGAAACTGTAATTTTTTATAGGCACACGTACATACATGTGGGCCTACTTACACAGGCAGAAAAACTCACTCCTTAGCAGGGCCCTGGTGAAACATGTATATTATGTTGACAAGCAAATTAAAAATACAAAACAGGAACTACTAATAGGATAGGCAGAAGAGGTAACAAATTGATGAAGGGTGAGAAGTTTCCCTAAGAATTAAAAAATGGACCATTTTTTTTTTTACTCTTTTTTACTCTTTGAACTCTTCCTTTTAATGCCAGGGCTTCCATATTTTCCATCTCTGTGCTCACAAATTTACTTTGCTTTTGAGTCTATATTTGTAAAGAATGTGAATCTTAGAGCACCTGGGTGGCTCAGTCGGTTAAGTGCCTGACTTCAGCTCAGGCCACGATCTCACAATTCATGGGTTTGAGCCCCATTATCGGGCTCTGGAGCCTGGAGCCTGCTTCAGATTCTGTGTCTCCTCTCTCTGCCCCTCCCCCACTCGTGCTTTGTCTCACTCTGTCTCTCAAAAATAACTAAATGTTGTAAAAAAATTTTTAAAAAGAATGTGAGTCTTGTACCATGAAGTATTTTTAGATTCTACTTTGAGATTGCCTTTTACAAATGCTCCTTCCCCAAGAGTATTGTTCTGTTATAGATACCAGTGTTTCAACGAGGTGGAAGTATAGTGCCCATAAAGACAACTATAGGAAAATCCACAGGCTACATGACTGATTCCCCATATGGACTCCGGGTGGCTCTCAGCACTAAGGTATTTGGAAAATGTTACCTTTACACAACTCATTCGTTACTACTTTATCTCTTTACAGGAGTAGTAGCCTTCTGAGTATGTGGTAGTATTTAAAAACGATACACCCCAGTTAGTTATGGGATGGGTGTTTCTGATGTTTTGAAACATTTCAGATTCACTGTCCAGCTTGTCTGACTTTCATGCAATTATACTTAAGAGAACTCTGAGAACTAGAAATGTTACCAATTTCCTCTGGAGCATCATGACCTTGGTGCTCTGCAGCTTGGCCTTGATTACCACTGGACTAAATCCTCACTGGGCATAGTCAGCCTGCCACATGGATTAGCCCTAAAATTCAGTCTCCTCTAAGAGGGTACCTGTATCTACGCAACATTTCAGCAACACCGACCCCACACAATGACTTTTGTTCTCATCAGATGGCTCAAACAACTAAAATTTCCTGGGGTAAAGCTTAGAAGGATCCAGAATTTGTATGTCCTTTTCAGAAGATCTTTTGAGCCAAATGAAACCTATAGCAGATTCCTTTCTTATCCTTTTGCCCAAATACACTTCCAACACAAATTCTTACTCTTGCACAAATATTATAAAATAATTAAACTTTATTTTTCTTACATCTTTCTTTTCCATCTACTTCACTTAGACATGTCTTCTTGGACCAAACTATGAGTCTCAGACCACAGAATAAATACAAGAGACTCGAGATCCATAGCACATCAAACATTGTCAATAACAATAAACTGCCATATGGAGTGCTGTGACATTGTTTGACATGCCAAAGGGGTCCTCCTACTGAAATGAAGAAGGAACTTCCATTGTCTAAATGGAGGGTTTCTAAAGATAGCTGATCTCCTCCATTATATACTACATTTTTTTTAGCTTCATTTTATTGCGTGAACTTTTCTTGACCTGTCGTCTCATTTTAAGATACTATTTTCAAAGAAGCCACCTGTGCCACTGACCATATTTCGTAGTTTAAATTTTTTTCAGCAAGGTCTCTTTGTGCTCCTCTTATGTGACTTCCTTATTCATATTAATTCACCAATGGGCACTGAATGTATATATTTGTATGACTACATTGTGCAGCTTGAATAGTAAGCTTTTGTTTAATAAAATTTTTCACAGATTTTTTAATCCCTCTGGTGGGTGACATTCTTTTCCTAGTAAGCTATTATATAAGCAGATTCTCTCCCTATGATTCACTCTCCAGGGTTCTGCCGTGGGTGAACTCTATCTCGACGATGGCCATTCATTCCAGTACCTCCACCAGAAGCAATTCTTGCATAGGAAGTTTTCATTCTTTTCAGGTGTTTTGACCAACAGGTAATAGCAGCTAAAAAGCTGTGTGCTTTCTTAAATAAATTATGCTAGCCTCAAAAGCACAGCTGTTGTTTTAAGGTACTATTTAAAGAAAGTAATGATGAAGGCCATTTGTGGAGTATTTTTTTTTTTTAGCTTCACTAAGATATAGTTGACAAATAAAAATGTAATGTATTTAAAGTGTACAAGATGGTGATTTGCTGTATGTATATACTGTAAAAGGATTCCCACCATCAAGTTAATTAACTCACCCATCACCTCACATATTTATCTTTTTTGGTTTGTTTGTTGTTTTGTTCTGTTTTAGTGAGAACACTTAAGTTCCACTCTCTTGGCAAATTTCAATTATAGGATACAGTATTGTCAACTATGGTCACCATCTTATATGTTAGATCCTGAGACCTTATTCATCTTATAACTGAAAGTTTGTACCCTTTAACCAGCCTCTCTTTCCGTTTGCAAATAGAAACAATTTTACTACTTCCTTTCCAATTTGGATGCCTTTTATTTCTTTTTCTTGCCTAACTGCTCTACCTCGGGTGTCCAGTACTATGTTGAACAAAAATGGTGAGGAGTCGGCATCCTTGTCTTCTTTCTGATCTTGTTTCAGCTTTTCTCCACTGAGTATGATGTTAGCTGTGCACTTGTCAAAACAGCTTTTATTATGTTGAGATACATTCATTCTGTACTCAATTTGTTGAGAATTTTTATCATGAAAAGCTGTTGAATTTTTTCCAATGCTTCTTCTGTATCTACTGAAATAAGCATATTATTTTTATCCTTCTTTTGTTAATGTACTGTATCACATTTATTGACTTGCCAATGTTGAAGCATCTCTGTATCCTAGGAATAAATCCCACTTCATCATGGTGTCTGATCCTTTGTTGAGGAATTCTGCATCTGTGTTCATCAAGGATATTGGCATGTCATTTTCTTTTCTTATAAGTATCCTTGCTAGCTTTGGTAGTGTTCCACTCTTTGGAAGAGTTTGAAAAGGACTGATAATTCTTTAAATGTTTGATGGAATTCAATAGCAAAGCCATCTGGTCCTGGACTTATCTTTGTTGGCAGTCTTTTATTACTGATTCACTATCCTTACTAGTAACTGACCTGTTCAGATTTTCTATTTCTTCATGATTCAGTATTGGTAGCTTGTATGTTTCTAGGAATTTATCCATTTCTTCTTATCCACTTTACTGGTGTGTAATTATTCCTAGTAGTTTCTTATGATCCTTAGTGTTTCTGAAGTATCAAATGTAACGTCTCCTCTTTCATTTCTTATTTTATTTATTTATTTATTTAAATTCTAGTATAGTTAACATATAGTGATATGTTAGTTTCTGATTGTACTTACTTGAGTCCTCTTTTTGTTGGTGAGTCTAGCTAAAGATTCGTCTATTTTGTTTATGTTTATTTTTCTAATGTAAGTAATCTCTACATCCAAGGTGAAGCTCAAACTCACAACCCTAAAATCAAGAGTCACATGCTTTACTGACTGAGCCAGCCAGGTGCCCCAGCTTATTTATTTGTTTTTTAATTATCTCTTAGTTTCATTGACCTCATATTGTCTTCTTAGCCTCTGTTCCATTTATTTTCACTCTGACCTTTGTTATTTCCTTCCTCCTACCTTCTTTGGGCTTAGTTTGTTCTTCTTTTTATAGTTCCTTGAGGTGTAAAGTTAGATTGTTTATTTAAGGTCTTTTCTTTTTCTTAATGTAGGCATTTATTACTATAAGCTCCCCTCTTAGAATTGCTTTTGCTGTATCTTGTAAGTTTTGATATGTTGTGTTTCCATTTTACTTTGTCTGAGGTACTTTATTTCCCTTTTGATTTCTCTTTGACACATTGTTTAGGAGCATGTTATTTAATCTCCAAGTATTTGTGACTTTTCCAGTTTTCTTCTTGTGATTGATTTCTACTCTCCTACTATTAGGGTTAGAAAAGATGCTTGATATAATTTCAGTCTTTTTAAATGTGTTAAGACTTATTTGGTATTCTAACATATGATCTATCCTGGAGAATGTTCCATGTGTGCTTGGGAAGAATATGTATTTTGCTGCTACTGAATGGAATGTTCTATATATATCTATTAAGTCTATTTGGTCTAACATGTAGTTTAAGTCCACGTTTTCCTTATTGGTTTTCTGTCTGGATGATCTATCCATAGTTGAAAGTGGGGCACTGAAGTCCCCTGCTATTACTGTATTGCTGTCTATTTCAACCTTCAGATCTACTAATATTTGCTTTATATATTTAGGTGTTCTGATATCGGGTGCATAAATATTTACAAATGTTATAACCTCTTAGTGAATTGACTCTTTTATCATTATGTAATGATCTTTGTTGTCTCTTATTACAGTTTTTGGCATAAAGTCTGTTTTGTTTGGGGCGCCTGGGTGGCGCAGTCGGTTAAGCGTCCGACTTCAGCCAGGTCACGATCTCACGGTCCGTGAGTTCGAGCCCCATGTCGGGCTCTGGGCTGATGGCTCGGAGCCTGGAGCCTGTTTCCGATTCTGTGTCTCCCTCTCTCTCTGCCCCTCCCCCGTTCATGCTCTGTCTCTGTCTGTCCCATAAATAAATAAAAACGTTGAAAAAACATTTTTTTTAATAAAGTCTGTTTTGCTTGATATAAACATAGCTAGCTCTGCCTTTTTTTGATCTCCATTTGCATGGAATATCATTTTTAATCCCTTCACTTTCCTTCTGTATGTTTCCTTAAAGCTGAAGTGGGTCTCTTATAGGCAGCATGTAGCTGGGTATTGACTTTTTAACCACTCAGCAGCTGTGTCTCTATTGATTGGAGAATTTAGTTCAAATACACTTGGAGTAATTATTGATAGGTGGTTTGAGGGCTCATGTCTCAGGTGGGAGGCCTTAAAACTGGGGTACTAGAAGTGTGGTCCAAACCCTTCACTCTTCAGGGAGAAGTTGGGATTTGGGAGTTCCCCTTCCACTTGTATGACACTGTCCTGGGGATAGGGAGTGAGAGTGTGTCTTAGCCTTTCCTACCTGTTTCGATGTGGGTATTTTTGCAGTAACTCAATGTATGGGAGTCACTCAGGTAGTTTCTGTATCTCCAGAAGGGAATTGCTCCACCTGTAACTTTATATTCAGTATCTCCATGAAAGGAGGGAAATTCAGGGACTTCTTATGTTGCCATCTTGGTCTAGAATTTCCCTGGAGTATTTTTCAGTCACTGCATGAATCTTCCTTATTGTCTCCATCTTCCTTTTCCTCCCTCTCTAAAACATAAAAAAGAATTCAATTTAAGTTCTGATTAATCCCATGTATTGCCCCATTCAACAAGTGATTAAATATCTGAGTTCTTAAAATTTGATTGCTGTGTTGAAGTCACATTTGCGACTCCAGTGTCCTTAGGTGATATCTCTCCAAATGGCTTGTCAAAGGGAGACTGGTTTGTCTACTGGTTAGGCAGTCCTCAGCGCATGGAATTATCTTTTTCCTTCTCTTCATCTTAGTAAACGTGACAGCTGTATTATTCTTGCCTCCATAGGGGAAGATGGGAGAGGAACCCACAAGGCTGGGATGTTGACCTAGTAACCAGTCCAAACCCCTATTCTCCTCCTTTTCCTAATGCCCTTTGCATCTATTCCAGTTGTGCTGACAAAAGAGGTCATCATCCCAGCAAGTGTGTGGTGGAGCGGGTCTTCGTCCTTGGCCTCAAGAAGCAGCCATCTTCTGTGACCACCCATTCATCTGGTGAGCAAACAGGTCATTTGTTTTTGTAAACATGGAAGTATCTGCAGTGAAGAGATGATTAGTCCCAAAACTGATGTCGTGTGCTGAACTGAGTGGACCCTGTGCTTTCTGAAATACCCTGGTCAAATACCCAGGTGTCTAAAAGGAGCAAAGCCACCCTGCTTCTCCTCATCGACTGGTCTTTCCGCGAACTATAAGATGTTAACATTTTTCTAAGGGAAATTATTTGGGGCTTGAAAAATATTGTAACTTCTCTGAATATTTTGTTTAACTGTAGCTGTCTGAAGCTGCAGAGAATCGTCCCCATGTTTATGGAGTTTCTTAAAAGGATATATCCTTTCTTACCTGCTGAACTTCTTTGTTCCTTACAGCTCCTTTTCCACCAATCTTGCACTCAAAATGATAGAGGGTTTAATCTTCAAAAAATTCATGGAAGTCCATGGGTAAAAGTGCTATTCAGCTGGATTTTCCTACATGGGGCTTAAGGTTTTATGACCAAGTGAGAAATATTTTATATTTGAAAGAAAGATCTTTCTCTCCTAGATATTCATCAAACTTTTCCTGCTATTGTCTTGATATTTAGACGGTAAAGAAGAGCCTGTGGTTTTTACATATTGTACCACAATGTCCACCCTGAGCCTGGAGAAGCTGTCACTGAACATCGGCGTTGACTGGGAGGTCCACATCAAATAACTGTGACGTGCACCCAGTGACGGGCTCAGGAAGCAGCCTGCACCTTTCAGCCTTTCCCTTGGCCTTTTCTGATATTTGTGCTGCGTGCTAATTGACTTCTCTGGCTAACAATTAGCTTTCATTAGGCACCACTTTACTAACAAAAACAGATTTCAGGTTTTACATTTTTAGAGGTACTAGGAATACTTTTTGGGTCAAACACCACCTCATCTCCTAGATGCAGGTAGCCCTGAGACTTTCATAGAGTTCATTAATCTTCCATTGCTTCTTGGATTGTGGCCCTGTGGTCAGCACTGTGGCCCAATGAGTAGCTTCTCTTTGAGCACAGCTGGATGGTTGTGTGTGTGTGTGTGTTTAAGTAAACTCTACCCTCAATGTGGGGCTTAAACTCACAACCCAGAAATCAAGAGTTACATGCTTTACGGATTGAGCCAGCCAGGCGCCCTGGATGGATTTGTTATATATGAAATGTGGGCCAAACCCACTGTTTGCGGCCCATGTGTGGAAGCTTGCCTCAGGCCATGCAGCAGGATCAGTCTGGCTACAGTGGTGAGCTACTCAGGGCCTGTCTCCAAGGGGACAGCAGCCTCTCATACCCCTCGGTCATCTCTCACCCACTTAGATGTGGGCAAACCCACCCTTTTCTGCTTGCACTGCATACGCTGAAGCAACAGGGAATTACTCTCCCCTAAAGATTGACTCTGAAGCACAAAGGATTCTTTTCCCTGTTGTGCTTGTTGGGCTTCAAAGTTCCCAATGAATCTTCTTAAAATCCTAATGTATCTTAATTGTTTTTATTAAATACTGTTTACTGACCACAGAAGATTTGTAACATGAGTAAGCTACATTTTATGATTAATAATAACATGAACACCCATGTCCCCACAACTGAACTTCAGAAATAGAACACAGGGCTGGGATGAGGGTAAGTCAGGCACAAAAACTCTTGCCTTGGGCACAAAATTAAGGGGGTACCAAAGAAATGCAATAATCAAAATAAATAATATTTTAGTGTATTTTTCGAAATCAAAATTAATGCAAAAAATAATCCATGATGAACAAAATATCAAAATTTTAAATAAAGACAGGATCAGTACTACTAAGTTTTCTTTCTCCCTTGGTCCCCCCCGTATGGCTTGGCATGGGCTAAAAAGCATTAGGGAACACCAGTTCCTCCGGCTGCTTCCTGCTCTGGAGACACCAGTGCCTCTTCACTGCCTGTTACTGCATCTGTAGGGCAGCCTCGTGTGCTCAGCACGTTTTCACGTTTCCTCCACTGAGCGACTTGCCAACTGCCACCTCTGTGCCTTCTGTGCCCTGGGCCCCATTATCCACCACTTTCCCCCTTCCCATGCAGCTCTTACCATCCGTTGAGGCCCAACTCAAATGCCACTTTTCCATTAAGCCTATCTAAATCCTCTGTCACCCCCGCACCCCTGGACCCATGCGCGGTTACTTTGCTCATCTCTGAAATGCTGTTCCACTTATAATGTGCGCTCTCCCAGCATCCTCAGGGCAGTCCCTTAATGTTTCAGCTTTGTCTGTCTTGTTCCCCTGCTAGAGTGCATGTTCCTCGAGAGCATATTTGTCTTCTGTCTGCCAGAGCACCATTATACTTGCCTTTCAGTAACCAATGGCTACAATTAGTTAACTGATGGATTTGATTAAAAAGTGAGAATTTAATGTATTTGTTTCCGATTTACTTTTCTGACAGGACTCTTCCCTCCAGATGTAGTAAACATTGTGCATTTCCTTGTGGACACATTGCATTATATCAGTTGAGATTTCAGCTTTGCACCACACCACATAGACATTCACAGATTCTTTGCTATTTCTGTAAGTCTTGCAATTCAGGAGAAAGGAAGAAGTCTACATTAGCTGAAGCCGTATTTCCCAGCTTCGAAGTTCCCTTAGCAACCTACAGTAAGACTTAACCTGAAAACTGGGTGCTTTTACCTAATACATGATGATGGTTTTTAATGGCATGTGAAGCTGAATAATTAAGACCTATCTTTAGATTAACATGTATTGCATTTATTCTTCCATGTAAAATATTTTTTGGAGAAAGGAATGAAACTGCTCTGTCTTTTTTTTTTCCCATATTTATTTTTTTTTATTTATATATGAAATTTATTGTCAAATTGGTTTCCATACAACACCCAGTGCTCATCCCAAAAGGTGCCCTCCTCAATACCCATCACCCACCCTCTCCTCCCTCCCACCCCCCATCAACCCTCAGTTTGCTCTCAGTTCTCAACAGTCTCTTATGCTTT